TGCGCGGATCCTACAAAATTACTTTGCCTTTTGCTCCAAAACCTTCCAAAATACGTAAAATACATCACAGCGAGAACGTCAGAAGTATTTCACTTGACAGTTGCGACTTTAGGCGAAAGGTAAGACGGTAAGCCATTTTCTATCCATTACTCACGCTACCTGGCAGACGACAGGAAGGAGGAAGTGCTTGTTTGCTAATACAGAATTGTGGGTAAAATATGGGGGAATACCCTATACTGCCACGTTAATGGTAATCTTCAGCAACGTATAATTTTAGTGCCGCCATTTACTAATACATCATTGAGAATTTGATAAACCATGATGGTTTAAAGACCCTTAGTTCAAGGATTGTTGATAATCCGGGTTCCTAACCGAGTCTGATCCAGACAAACTGGTGGTCGATATCAAGAACAACATAGGAACTAAAGAACATATTTACGCCGTTTTTAGCAATATTCCAGCAATATCATGGCGAGGGACACCAGAAATGGACTTTACACATTGTACCCGTGTGGGGAATCGAATCCGGGTCTTCAGCGTGACGAGCGAACGCTTTAACCACATGGCTACCCTAACGCCCCCAAAAGTAGCTCAAGAACACGAGATATGTTCACGACTATACTATGTATAAAACCAGAACACAAAGAACATGTGGAAATGTTAGTCAGGTGTCCCTTGTGAATGGGATCCGTTCAGGAATGTCGTCGCAATGCTTGGCGGGGTGTGACAGTGAACGCTTGGTGTGAAAACAATTACCACCAACTATAATACTTGTTGCTATATATAACTATATGGGCGACAACAATGTATCCCAGCACGCAGATATGCAGTATACGTGGAACGGGAATGTTTGTATTTATATCACGTGATGCCAGGCATGTGCAGTGAATGCGTCTCATTCGACGACTATTCATAAATGCTGTGCCCCATTCTCAGTTATCAAGTGTGTTTCACCTTTCATAATATGATAAATATTTAACAATGGACATATTATATATACTGTATGGATAATCGCGGTTGCCGATTGTATTTTTAGTTTGTATAATTCGATTACCCTAGTTAAGTAGTTCCTGGTTGTTGTTTTGTTTTGTTTTGTTTTGAAACTAGGTGAGTGAGTGAATTTAGTTTTACGCCGCTTTTAGCAATATTCCAGCAATATCACGGCGGGGACACCAGAAATGGGCTTCACTCATTGTACCCATGTGTGGAATCGAACCCGGGCCTTCGGTGTGACGCTTTAGCCACTGGGCTACCCCCACAGCCCTAATTATCACACACACATTAGAGACGAATCAATACTATTGAACCCGCGGGTCTTCGTCGTGACGCCCCATTTTCCATACGGTCGGAATGATAGTATAAATAACTTTCAGATATCAGCACATTTTATTTATATGTGAGTTATTTGCCTATAATAGAATTAAATAATGCAGAGACCAAGTGTTAGTGTATCATATTCTTGGAATATTCTTTGCATATACATTAGCGGAATAGCTGGGAGTGAGTGTGAGACTGAGTGGAGTTCAACACAGCAGCCTGAACAGTATTAAACTGTATTTCAATATTTCAGTTATACCATGTGGTGCCACCCTAAAATGGTGAGGTGAGGTGAGGTGAGGTGAGAGTGTATGAGTGAGTGAGTGAGTGAGTGTGTGTGTGTGTGTGTGTGTGTGTTATAGAGAGCTTAAGATGACTCTATAATAATATGCACTGCAACTACAGAGTGAAAAACGTACGACTTCGATAGGATGGGTTGAGGATGCAAGAGAAATATTATTAGCTATGTTCGTTTGAAGTTTAATTAACCCGCTGGTCTTGAACCACGTCGATGATAAAATAACATTCATTCGCTTACTGGGTGTCATTTTTGTAAACAAAACACGTTTTCAAATACATACTCAGTTCACAGTGACCTGCAAAATGCAACATTACAAAGACTGCCCCAGTAACATAATCTGACAACCATTCACGCAGGAGCTCCGTAAAACCAACAAAAAATATATGCTGATATTATCTCGACTAGAATCCTAAGGACGTAGTTTAAACGCACTCTTTACACAAAAGGCCCACTGTGCGGACAGTCGAAATTGGAGAATCAGTACAATAGACATTATCTATTAATAAACACTGCCTGATGTGTCGAGTACATAGACAGACCCTAGATTAAGCGTCTTATAACGCCCGAAGACTTGATCAAAGTACATCCTACATTATTTCTTTCACACTCGGGTGCTGAAATGGCTTACGCCACTCCCCCAAACTTGCACATCACGTTACTTGGATTTTTTTATATGTTTGAACTCAAATGCTGTAATTCTAAAAGCAAAAGTCTACTCAGAGCTTTCAATCCGATTTACAGAGTTTTGTAATTATAAAGATATGCTTCTACAACTGCGTGACATTACAGCTTCAGCATGTGTGTGTGTGTGTGTGCGTGCGTGTGCGTGCGTGCCTCTGTGTATGTGTGTGCGTGCGCGCGCACATGCGTGTCTGTGTCGTCGACCTATGACAGAAATACTGGGTAAGATTGACGAATCTTGTTGGACTGGTTCGTTGGAATGTGACAGAAATACTGAGTATCAAAGATGTGACAAATCTTCACATGTCTGTGACAGAGGTACCATGCAGGTAGCCCCTCGAGAAACTCTGGGAAGGAGACTGGGCATCCTAATGCACATTGCACTATTTACCCCGACAGAGAGACGTTTCAAAACAAGGCTTACAGGAATTAAATGGGCATAGAGGCAACCCTATAATTAAAGCGTTAACTCGTCCCTCCAAAGGTCCAGGTTTGATTCCGTGAATAACCAAACTCATTTGAAGGATTATGTGCATGGCAAGGAAACAGTAGATTTTGGTGAACCGAAAGTTTCGGTCTCTTCTATGGAGGCGTCAAGGCGTGTCGATTAATGACTTGTGTGAAACGGAGAATGTCCAATAATCAGAAAATCTTTCATTTTGAATGACCGACGTCGAGGACTAAAGATTTCAGTTAACGGACGTAACAAGGTGTATCTAATGAACGACGCACAATCCTTTCCCAGATACAGAAATCCGATATACTTGACTGAATGTTTCGTTCATTTGAATCGTGAGTTTAAAAGCTAGCTGGCTGATTGGAAAGTTCGCCTCCTACAGACTGACTGACTGAGTTTGGTTGTACGCCGCTTTTAGCAATATTCCAGCAACATCACGGTGGGGGACACCAGAAATGGGCTTCACACATTGTACCCATGTGGAGAATCGAACCCGGGTCTTCGGCGTGACGAGCCAACGCTTTAACCACTAGGCTACCCCACCGCCCCTCGCCACCTACAGAAGTAACGCAGGGAGGTATCGCATCGGAGTATTGTTAATGAGTCTGCATGGAAACTGAGTGAGTGAGAGAGTATGGTTTTACGCCACTTTTAGCAATATCACGGCTGGGGACACCAGAAACAGCCTTTTACACATTGTACACATGGAGGAATCGAACCCGGATCTTCGGCGTGACGAGCGTACGCTTTGACCACTAGACTAGTACTCCGCAGTCGATGGAGTGAGCCACATCGATAATCGAATATGGTGGGGTGCACTTGCACTTATTTTCTTCAGGATTTGGGTGTTTCTTTATACTTTTTCAAATTAACCCACTCCACTAATTCCTCTACACATTTTCACCCGTGAAGATCCGGGTTAGAATATTGATCTTCAGTAACCCATGCTTGTCGTAAGAGGCGACTAACGGGATCGGGTGGTCCGGCTCGCTGACTTGGTTGACACATGTCATCGTATTCTAATTGCGTAGATCGATGCTCATGCTGATAATCACTGGATTGTCTGGTCTAGACTCGATTATTTACAGACCGCCGCCATATAGCTGGAATATTACTGAGTGCGGCGTAAAACTAAACTCACTCACTCCTCTACACATTTCACACACAAACTTATCACCGGGTATGCTATTTTAGCTGTGGACATAGCCTTGCTCCAAGGCTACACAGAGTACTAAGCCCATGGATGTATAGTAATTTTATCATTTAAAAAGGCAAGTCTAGATCCGCGGGCAGTACGCCAGTCTGTTAGAGGGATAATGTGTTCGTTTCATTCATATTTGTTTCAGAAATTATCATTTAAACTACATGTATTAGTTATTACCACAGAGACTTGAGCATGTCCACCGTAGACACACCATGCATGCAGCTCATATTATTGAAGCTCGAATGAGTGTGAATTGTGCGTGATAGCACAACACAATTATGGTATATTTGCTGTATAATGATAATTGAAACCATTATTACACATCCTTAACCTGTGTTATGGGATGTTTTGGCTATCGTAATTCATTTTCATTCCTACAATCTGTTTTAATGATGACTACATAATTAAGATCTTATCATTATATTAACCGACTGAATTCTTATTTTTGTGAATACATATTTTCTTGTAAGTTTTTTTTCTCCATTTATCTGAATCCCCATATAAAGTTAAGTTCAACAAAAGATTATAACATTTCTTTCTAAGTTTCTTATAACATCTGACTACGTTTTCCATTCTCAGCTTCCTGGGGGACATAAATCTCAAGGTGCCATTAAATCTGCTTGCATATATGTTTATACAGTTAACTAGCTCCATTATTGGTAGTTCTTATGCTATTCAAGCAGACTTAGTTTAATGCTGGGCTCATTCAGTGGTGAAATCCTTGCGTAACCAGACAAACAGACCGTGGATGGGTTTTACCTGACCTGTATCGTGTTTGAAATGTTCTTGCCCTCTGTTCGCGAGAACAATTCGCGCAAACACAACTACGGAACTTTTTACAAGCAGCATATAGTTCCAATGATTTCTAAGATGTTCTATAACATAATCCCGGTGATGCAGATATCTTTGATATAGTATGAATAATACGATTGTTATTATGATATTGCAATGATATTTATAGTAATACATTGAGCTGAAATATGTAAATGAGAAATGGCGATGATGCGGAAGAATCGATTTCTACCCACAAGCCTCTATGTTTCAACATGGAAGCATGTGCGAGGCACGACTTTACTCAAACAGCTGATGACGAATTAAGTTTTAAGAAAGGATCCATATTAAAGGTAATAATACCAACTGAAACATTCATCTTCCATGTGATTTTGGAAATTTGAGCATCCAGACTAAGCGTGCAAGCTCGTTCTGACACCTGTTGTTGTGAGCGCTCTGATCGCTTTGATGCTTGTTTTGATTTTAAACTGGGCTATTCTTTGACATCCAGCTTATCAATGAATCGTATTTTGTTAGTATGTTATTGAGCATTGAACTGATTATTCTGACTTGTATGCCACGAGTTGCTTTTGCACGCAGAACCGTTTTATATGTACGCAACAAGTAAGAGCAGTTGTCTGCTGCCATGACAAATGTAACTCGAATCCGCATTACTCATCGAGAGGCTTCGACGATCGACTGTCATCGATACCAAACAGGAAACGACAAACTAAACGTTATTTATTTGTGGGGCGATAATTCTACTATTACAACCTATAACAACCTTTTCAATCTTGTTCGTTTCCGACCATTATTTGCGAATTAATGCACTTTAATTTCGCTCATGTTGATAATTTGAACTAAGGGAATATTATTGATATTTGTTTGGGGAAAGATTGGGGAGGTGCTCTAATGAATAGTCTTGATAGAGGATTTTTGCTGTTGGCCATTTTAGCATTAAATATGTATTGTAAACTATTGTAATCAAAGTCATAGCAGTTTGTTCAGTGGGATATTGTAAAATTAGATACACCTTGGTTGCCATTTAAAGATGTCAGTACAGATATTGGATCCTACACAATGACAATTTGCCTAGTGAGTGAGTGTCTTTATTCATTTGTTATAGGCAATTTGAGAAGACTGTTACTATCAGAAACATTTATCCACTCATAATTATACTCTTGGAGTACCTCCATGAATAAGTAGTGTCAGAAACATGATCAATGCTATCTTTTATTGTTTTGCACGAATAAGAGCACTTCATGAACGATTATTGATTTGCATGTTGAACTTTTCTTTCAAGTCGGTATCTATATTGCATTTGAATTATTGTTGATTAATAGAATTTAGTTGCCAGTTTATCATTTGCACTATACATATTTATATCTTAACTTGTGTATACATGTACATACATATCTATATAGCTTGTGACTGTAATGTATTGGTTAACTGCTTTCAGCAAGACGGGTACAAATCTTGAGTTATTCTGAAACTGATGAACTTCTGGAGCAGTGGAAGCTATTTATTATCCCTCTAATCTGGCTAATAGCCTGCTGCTTCTTAATGTATGTTTTTATTAGTGTCACTGACACCTTTTATAGCATCAGGGTTGTCATTTGATTGTGGATAGCTGCAGTCCTGCAATTTTGCAGCAGTTAAATTTACCATTTTAACTGCAGCAGCTAACTTGCTAAAACTGTTTTAAAAAATTTAAATTCATTACTTCCTACAAGCACCTTCCGTTCCCTGCCCACCGATAGTTTCTTTACCAAACATAAACTGTAGCTTCTGCTTATTGAAAACTCATTTAGAAAAGGTGGGGATTTTGAAATCTAACAGGTATTTCGCTTCATAATATCTAATAAAATATTAATCTCTGAGGGAAATGGTATTGAAAGACAAAATGAGTGTTTCAGATTGAATAATTTCTTTAAAGTGGGGTTTTGCTGAGAAAAGATGGTGATGTTTTTTGTTTCAAAACTCGCCAATAACAGCTACTTGAGAACTCATGAATGGTTTTATTCCAAACATGTCAGTATTGTCACGCTGTTGTTGACTGGTCTTCCAGTTCCACCTGACCACTGAACATAATCCACGTTTCAATTAATAGTAATAATAATAGTGCATTTCTATGGCGCTATTTCCATGCATAAGCATGCTTAAAACGCACAATCTGATTATTATTACCCCAGATAACCCAAGCTGCCTTTGAGGTGCTAGAAGGTTAATAGTCACATGACTTATCCCACCGGGTACCCATTTTCTGCTGGGTGAACAGAGGCAATTTTGAAAAAAAATCACTTGCCTAAGGTGAGACCACGTATGTCACATGTGCTTCGTTGTGGGGCAGGACTAAAGTCCTAAAAACTCAGGAGTCACGCTGCCAAGGTCACCCATCCAAGGACTTTCTGCACCCAGTGTTACTTGACTTCAACTGATTGTGACCTGAGCTCTATGCACGATTAAGTCATGTGTTTTTCAGACATACTTGATTCACCACTCAATGAAGTACTGAATCAACAGTGTAGATTCTGGCTTACAACAAGTGAAGGTGACTAAATTAGTTTGGGTGGTCAGACGCAGTGGTTTAATCATTTGTATGTCTCCATATGCAGATGGAATGGATCGTTTCTCATAGTATCAAGCATTGGTCTGACTGGTCCACAGTTATTTTCAGGCACTGTCCCCTAATTTAAATAGCTAAGAGTTGTTTGTTAAACAACAAACATACATGTACATATGTGGTCCTGTGCATAGAGCTCAGGTCACAAATCAGTTGAAGTTTAGCAACGTTGGGCATGGAGATTTGTTCGATGGGTAACCGTGTTTGGCAGCTTGACTCTTGAGAATTTCTAGGACTTAAGTCCTGCCCCACAGCGAAGCACATATCATCAGTAGAGGACGTAACATGTACGCAAGTGACTACCTGAGAGGGGGTCACTCATTCGCGTGACTGCCTGATCACAGACAGGGAAGTTCTGCATGTCACACAAAAATGCGTCTAAAAGTGTTATTTATGAAAATAATGAAACAAAATTTGCTACAGTCATTAATAGGTGTTCAAGTTATTGATTGACATGAATGAAAACGTTCAAAGAAAACATTAGATAGTCAAATTTTGAGAAAAATGTGCAAAATTTAAGCAAAATTTGACAATATTGAACAGCTTAATTTCACCTATGTGCATATTTTCAGAAACTTACATTTAGTATTTTCTGAAAGCTCATTCATCGCGAGATTCAAAATATATATGCAGCTTTCGAGGCACACCAACGCACAATCCGCTTGTTATTGTGTTGAAACATGTTTACTTTCTTAAAAAACTGCGCCAACCGTCCTCAGCTTAGAAGTGACTGGGGAAGCGAGTCATTAAGGGAGGTAACTGATGCCTGACTAAATTGCTCTGTCAAAACATCCGCCTTGTGACTTGGACTGTCAGAAGCGACGCGCATTATATATATATGGGGATATTTTTATTATGCTACAACAAACAGGATATAATAAATTAATACACATTCACTAATAACATTTTTTTTTCATGCGGACTATATTATTTGGTGGAAGTATAATCATTGGAAAAAAAGACTAAGAGAGGTGGTCACTTCTACCGTGTAAAATAAATGCCTTCAAGCGAATTTTCAGTTTGCTGTTATATTAGTTGGTTTTGATGACAATTTTCACCCATGTGCCAATTTCACAGAAACGTTGATTTTAATATTTTCTGAAAGCTCGCTCAATACATATTTATATCTTAACTTGTGTATACATGTACATACATATCTATATAGCTTGTGACTGTAATGTATTGGTTAACTGCTTTCAGCAAGACGGGTACAAATCTTGAGTTATTCTGAAACTGATGAACTTCTGGAGCAGTGGAAGCTATTTATTATCCCTCTAATCTGGCTAATAGCCTGCTGCTTCTTAATGTATGTTTTTATTAGTGTCACTGACACCTTTTATAGCATCAGGGTTGTCATTTGATTGTGAATAGCTGCAGTGCTGCAATTTTGCAGCAGTTAAATTTACCATTTTAACTGCAGCAGCTAACTTGCTAAAACTGTTTTAAAAAATTTAAATTCATTACTTCCTACAAGCACCTTCCGTTCCCTGCCCACCGATAGTTTCTTTACCAAACATAAACTGTAGCTTCTGCTTATTGAAAACTCATTTAGAAAAGGTGGGGATTTTGAAATCTAACAGGTATTTCGGCTCATAATATCTAATAAAAATTAATCTCTGAGGGAAATGGTATTGAAAGACAAAATGAGTGTTTCAGATTGAATAATTTCTTTAAAGTGGGGTTTTGCTGAGAAAAGATGGTGATGTTTTTGTTTCAAAACTTCGCCAATAACAGCTACTTGAGAACTCATGAATGGTTTTATTCCAAACATGTCAGTATTGTCACTTGTTGTTGACTGGTCTTCCAGTTCCACCTGACCACTGAACATAATCCACGTTTCAATTAATAGTAATAATATTAGTGCATTTCTATGGCGCTATTTCCATGCATAAGCATGCTTAAAACGCACAATCTGATTATTATTACCCCAGATAACCCAAGCTGCCTTTGAGGTGCTAGGAGGTTAATAGTCACATGACTTATCCCACCGGGTACCCATTTTCTGCTGGGTGAACAGAGGCAATTTTGAAAAAAACTCACTTGCCTAAGGTGAGACCACGTATGTCACATGTGCTTCGTTGTGGGGCAGGACTAAAGTCCTAAAAACTCAGGAGTCAAGCTGCCAAGGTCACCCATCCAAGGACTTTCTGCACCCAGTGTTACTTGACTTCAACTAATTGTTACCTGAGCTCTATGCACGATTAAGTCATGTGTTTTTCAGACATACTTGATTCACCACTCAATGAAGTACTGAATCAACAGTGTAGATTCTGGCTTACAACAAGTGAAGGTGACTAAATTAGTTTGGGTGGTCAGACGCAGTGGTTTAATCATTTGTATGTCTCCATATGCAGACGGAATGGATCGTTTCTCATAGTATCAAGCATTGGTCTGACTGGTCCACAGTTATTTTCAGGCACTGTCCCCTAATTTAAATAGCTAAGAGTTGTTTGTTAAACAACAAACATACTAGTACCTGTACATATGTGGTCCTGTGCATAGAGCTCAGGTCACAAATCAGTTGAAGTTTAGCAACGTTGGGCATAGAGTGTTGTTCGATGGGTAACCGTGTTTGGCAGCTTGACTCTTGAGAATTTTTAGAACTTACGTCCTGCCCCACAGCCAAGCACATGTGATACATGTGGTCTCACCTTAGGCAAGTGAGTTTGTTCAAAATTGCCTGATCACCCAACAGAAAATGGGTACCCAGTGGGATAAGTCATGTGAGATTGTGACTATTAACCTTCTAGCCTCAGAGGCAGCGTGGGTTATCTGGGGTAATAATAATCAGATTGTGCACTTTGAGTATCCTTTGTGCATGTTTTAAATATTTTTAATTGATTAATTAATTGACATATTGCCTAATATTGATGTGTAGAATGGGAATCAGGAAGTCAAATTTGCACCTTGTACATATGATTATCATTTGAATTTAATGATTAATTCTGTGCACATAAATAATAATTGCCATTTAATTGCTATTCTTTTTCTTGCTGCTCATGAATGAGTTTGATATTTGTTTGAAAATGATATCTCTAATCATGTTTTTGCCATTTGTGCTGCTATACTGTCAATGAGCCGTTTTACTAGATGTGTAGATACTGACTTTTATGATGATGATGATGATGTTGATATTCACATACAGCTCTTTACTTCTGTATGCCATCTTTTGTACAGTTGTCGTCTACACAACTGTGCAAATATGACAGTAAAGAATCTGACAAATACCCTGAAAAAATTTGTAGTACCTATATGATGAGGGTCTATTACCATGGTTACAGGACAGCAAGCACTTGTGTGAGCATTGTAGCATGAGGGTCTTCAATTATAGTTATGATCAGCCTTAGTATTTGTTTATTTTTATCATACATTATCATAAGACATGTTTGACAGCTACGCTTAAAGGTTAACAAATCTTTTCACATGATGTTATGTTGTCTGTTACACCATTAAAGGGTGACAGGTCAATAAATGACAGACAAGTTGGCTGTTTTTCAGCTACTGTTTACTTTCTGTGCCATGTGGGGGATGATGCCAAAATTAGGATTTGAGCAATTACAAAAGTGGACTTCAAGTGAAATGAAAATGAAGCAGAAACGGATTTTTAATTATAAAATGATATTACCACACGTGATGCAAGTGAAACAGACAATAATGCTGTTTAAAACACGTAGCATGGGCATGGTGAGCTGGTCTGGCTTACCCATTTCTTGGAAATATTCAATTATGACTCTATACCAAATATACAACCAACACCAAGCTAACTGGTGGTTGAAGTTTGATATACCGACTTTTGTTGTCCAAAGAGTTTTATTGAAAAAGTCATCTTGGAGAGAAATTATAGGTACCAACACTTCCTGTCTTTCACTTGTCTGATTAGCACTGCTAGTACAACTATTGGCCCCAAACAACAAGCACTTTTTCTTATTTATTTTGGCTATTTGGTCCATTTGGACCTTCTCTCGCTAAATAACAGAAATGTATGTCTTTTATGCTTATGTGACAGCTATATGCAGGGGTGGAAATAACCAATTGCCCGACTCCCGAGTCCAGTGTTTTTTTCTGTCGGGCAAGCAAATTTGTATATCACTCTGTACCTGTGTCCAGTTGACTTTCCAATGTTAATTCTGTTCTTTATGTAAAAGATCAACAAGAAAACAGCTGGTATAGTGGAAAAATTATCAGGGCAAGTGATTTTACATGTGCCACTGTACTGGAGTACACTAGCAATTTTAAAGTTATTTCCACCCCTGATATGAAAACATTTCTGGTTCTGTTTCAGATACTTAGAACAGATGAAGACAAGAACTGGTACAAAGCTGAACAATGTGGGAAGGAAGGATACATACCAAATAATTATGTAGAACTAAGGCCACATCCGTAAGTTTCCTCATCTGCTTTGTGCTTTCGCCAGGAATGGCTTACTGATTCCCAACAGAGGATAGTTTCTTTAATGAGCAACATGTTTAATTGTACAAATGTTTCTTAGGTATTGAACCCTTGAAGTTCTGGGTTAGAATTGGTTTTCAGTAACCCATGCTTGTCGCAAGATTTGACTAGCAGGATCGGGTGGTCAGACTCACTGACTTGGTTGACATATGTCATCGTATCCCAGTTGCATAGAACGATGGTCATGCTATTGATCACTGGATTGTCTGGTCCAGACTCGATTATGTACAGACCACTGTCATATAGCTGGAATATTGCTGAGTGCCACGATAAACAACAAACCAATCTTAGGTATTGCCACAAAGTGTGTAGATTTATTTATTATAAGTTGTTAGGAGTCGAGAAAAAGAGGCAGTATGTCACAGAACATAAGTGTAGTTATAGTAGAAAAATGTGATGATTTTAAGACTGAATTATTTCTGTTTTCTGTTAAAATATCTGTTCGAGCAGGAGTTGCAGATGGTGTCAGCCCAATGAATGGGCATGCATGTTGTTGATATATCTCAACAATGTAACTAAGTATACTCTGACCATGATATCATTACACCAGGCACATATTTAGTATTAGCAGAAAGTTCCTGCTTTTCGTTGTCATGGAACAGTCTTGTATCTATGTATGACTACAGAAATTTAAAACTGTGATTTCCGTGATAAAATCCTGCAGCATCATATGCAACACAAATAATGGAATACAAGGAATAAAATGAATACAATGTTAAGAAAATACCAAAGAATGTGTCTTTGGGTTATGTCTATAATGATATGATTTTGGGATTCATCAGGTAAGGTAGGTAGGCAGGTAAGCTTGTCAACTATGAGAAAACAAGACAAACAATGGAGGAAAGTCAACCTTTAATGAAAACTTATTGCAATACATATCTCCAAACAGGATCACAATAATGAATATATTGCAATAGGGATGGATGTTGGAGGTTTAAAGTGTATCACAATTGCCATATATACCACAATATATCGTATAATTCAGATGCTATCTGAAACATCATTACATGAATTGAAGATTATAACAAGAACAAAACAATATGATGGTGATAATGTTTTCTCAATCTTAATTCATATCGTTCCTCAATTTAGGACCCGTAAAGGTCCGGGTTAGAATTGATCTTCAGTAACCCATGCTTGTCGTAAGACTAAGAGGCAACAGGATCGGGTGGTCAGGCTTGCTGACTGGGTTGACACATATAATCGTATCCCAGTTGCATAGATAGATGTTCATGCTGTTGATCCCTGGATTGTATGGCCCAGACTCGATTATTTACAGACCGCCGCCATATAGCTGGAATATTGCTGAGTTCGGAGTAAAACTAAACTCACTCACTCACTCCTCAATTTAGCCATCTGTATAGGGCCAAGTGTTTCCACACTTAGGCCCTGCCTTTTATCTTTGAAAGAACTGACTACAGTCCATTTGAGACAAAATGATACCAATGAAACACAAAAACAAATAGACATAAAAGAATCAAACCAACGCGGACTGCAATAAAACAACAGACCAACTCTAGAACAAAATTGCATAATTTGTGTCAAAAAATAAAAAAGTTGTTTAAGAAACTGTCATAATTTATTTGTGCATTTTCCGAGTTTGTTACAAGGACGCATTGGCAACTAAAGGAACAGCCCGAAAAGCGTGATGCACGTGTGTTAACAGGTTCTCAACAAATTTTTGAGCTGGCGAGATGACATGTACCCCAGCTGCACAGGCAGTGCGCTGTATGTACTTCGTAATTGCATACTTGGGTCACCCCCTGTCATTTTCATCCTTGAAGAAATCATAGAGTTAGTAAATTATAGACTTTCATTTTCTCTCACTTTGTCAATCGGCAGTAATCACATGTCTCTGACGTCACTAATGCACATGCATCTCATGTGTTTTTTATTGCAGTCCGCGTTGGTTTGATTCTTTTATGTCTGTTTGTTTTTGTGTTAGATTGCAATTCATCGGTATCATTTTGTCACAAACTGACTGTACCTTGCTATCTTAGAGACTTGGATGCGTAAACACATACACGCCACGGAAACATGATCAAGATTTCGTGGTTAGTTTTTGATGAATTTGTAAATGATAATGTTCGTAATTTATTAGGTTCTTGTGTGAAAATAACATCGAAATTAACGATCGGCCCGAGTGTCCTAATTAATAAGAAAGTAGTCGGTCATTTGAAAATGTTATTGGACTATGACCGAAGGCCGATGACAATCTGAAACCCTGATAAGGGAGGTAACTGTAAATTCACAGCTTACTTTTGCAGACATGCATTGTGGAATCACAGAAACATTTGGCAAGTGTATAACATTAAACACATGATAAAAGGTCTGTTTGAAATCATCCGATAATGTAGAGTATTCAAAAATAATTTTTTGAAACATTGTGGAAAGGATGAACCTCAATACATTGATGTAGTGATAATATCATGTAAAATCAATATGGATTTGTTGACACTCTATTTCCAATGACTGATCACGACGAAATGATGAGTGAAGGTTGATGGTTTGGCTTACCTACGGGACATACCATTTTGATACTGATTTTAAGGGTCAGGACCTCGGGTTATCTATGAGATCGGCTTATCTACGGTAATGTACAGTACCCTATTATTGCAATGCAAAATTCCAGGAAACACACAACACTGCTGAAAGTCTGTAGGCTTTATATCTGGCAAATTAGAAATAAAGATACACTGTAGACAGGCCTGTAGACAGCATGCTACTTAGTCTGTTTGGAATCATTCTGTGTTCCTCGTTTTTATGTGCCATGTTGTTTGTTGCAGGTGGTATGTTGGTTCTATATCACGGATGAAGGCGGAGGAGATGTTACTGAATGGAAACCATCAAGATGGGGCCTTCCTTGTGCGGAACAGTGAGAGCACACCGGGGGAGTTTTCTATATCAGTCAAGTAGGTGGTGCAACCCCTTACAGTGCTCCCCCCGGAGCAGCTGTGTATCTGCAGAATATACAGACTAAGTCCTCATTACCGTTTGTGTCGAATCCAGTAGTCCGTGACAAATGCTGTGATGGCTTGAATTTGACTCATTGGGGGATTTTCTTCAATTTTATTGGTATTACATGTATATGGGCTCTTGTGATAATGCACCCAACCCAAATTTCACCTCTCTTGATAGGGGTGAGTATTGAGGGGAAATAACTATTGCGATAGCCAGATCAAGTAAACAGTTAAAACGTACTTATTGTTATTAACACTCAAACTCGCATGTTGTGTTTGCCGTCGTGTTTGTTCAAGAGGTAACAGGGGCGGATAACTCTAAATCAAAGTGAACGAATCTGGTACCTCCCGTATTTTGCGCTGCACATTTATCAACATAAGTCAGTTACTAAACTATCGATAGTCACACACACTATTGATGCATCGAGCAGAGTTATGCCCTTTAGTTGTCAAGATTAAAAGGTGTGGAATCTGAGTCTTCCTTCTTCCTTTAATGGTATATATTCTGTTTTGTAGGGTTTACACAGGCCTCATATTTCAATATGAAAATAGGTGGTGTTCTTATAAGGTGCTAAAATTTTCTTCTGTCTGGGAACCTGTTTAATCGTTTTTCAGATATTCAGGTAGATTGCTGGTATATTGATAAATGCAGCGTAAAAACCGGACTCACTGGGATATTAATGTTCAAGTTTACAGAACATGTGTGCTTAAAAAGTAAAACTATTCTTCAAAAAAAAGATTAAGAAATGGGAGAATATTTCAACAGCCCTTGTAAATATAGCAGGCCATCAAGTCATCACAGAATTGTCTGATCCATATTCTACCCAATGTATCGTTTTGATGAAACAGAAATATATTTATCTATGTCCTCACTTATTATTTGATGAAAGATAATGGTTAGTAACATATGTCAAAGTAACCAAGCGGCAACTAACAGAATCGGTCAGGCTCACTGACTTAGTTGACACATGTATGTCATCGTATCCCAATTGATGCTCATGCTGTTGATCACAGGATTGTTTGGCCCAGACTTGATTATTTACAGACCACCACCATATAGCTGGAATACTGCTGAGTGCGGCATTAAATAACAACCAACCAACTTAATGCATAACTTATGATGTGTGTAAACTACACATGGGGATTGGGACAGGCACAAGATAAAAGGATTCATGGTTCAATTGGTGCAGTGGTAGCCGCTTCAGCACCAAATTTCTTTTGCATGTCTTATTTACTCAGCATTTCCTGCTAATAATAAGTAAGTTTGTTTCTTCTTTCCATATTTTCATTTATCCATTCCTGTCTAGAAAGATGTAGTGTAAGCTTGTTTCAGTGCTGTTGCTTAGCAATATTTTAGACTCGGACTGTAACAGTGTAAGACTGTCCGAGACCTGCACCACATCATGCTTTCTTCCATCAATGAACAGACATGCTGTGATAGAACAATCCTATTGTTTACAATGGCCTTCTTCCTAGCTCGTTCGGAACAAAGTTAGTGTAACTTGTGATAAATTATGTCTGCAAATTTTGGACCAATAGTGAAATATTTTCATTTTCAAAAGTTGTTTGGACAAATGTAATCCCAAATATAACATATGTTACATTTGACCACTTTCTAAAATGGCATTGTGTATTTCATTGTTTGGACTGTTGGGCAAGATGGAAACTCAATACTGAACACATGCTGAAGATAGACCGCCTCCGTGGTGTAGTGGTTAGAGCGTCCGCCCGGAGAGCGGAAGGTGGCGGTTCGATCCCCGACCGCGTCATACCAAAAGACGTTAAAATATGGTACTTGTTGGTCCCTGCCTGGTGCTCGGCATTAATGGGTACAACAAGGACTGGTCGGCTCGGAGTCAGTATAATGTGTCTGAGTGGGGTAGTCATGCTTCACTGCGGTATGGTATCTCAGTGGGCTAGCACTATAAAACCAGCTTCAGTCTAGGCTAGTACAAGCAGCAGCACATACACATACGCATGCACGTCGTCATATGAGCGAAATAATCTCAATCACGACGTTAAACCCAATTTCACCTCACCTCACATGCTGAAGATGAGATTGAAGCCCTGTTTGCTGTAGAGGAGGGGTTGGGAAGCCTAGTGGTTAAAGCGTTCACTCGTTACCCCGAAAGTCCCGGGTTCTATTCTCCTCATGGGTACAATCTTTGAAGCCCATTTCTGGTGTCCCCAGCCATGATATTGTTTGAATATTGCTAAAAGCGGTGTAAACCCATACTCATTCATGTAATCACTGTTTGCTGTATAATACATAGACTACAGATGTTATTCTGATACATCTGATAAGTATATTTCAGTTGGTACATTTTTTGCACTTTCAGATATCAAAATGGTGTTCAGCATTTTAAAGTATTACGAGATGGAAATGGCAAGTACTTCCTTTGGGTAGTGAAGTTTAATTCCCTGAATGAACTCATCGAGTACCATCGGACGTCCTCCGTCAGTCGTCAACAACCTAAGCCAATATATTTGAAGGACATGGAACCTCAGGTCCAGGTAATAGAGCTGAAGTGAATCTGCTAATGACCACAGTATCAAGAATTATCAAAATTTGAATATCTTGAATTCGGGGAAGAATTCCCACAACAAATTTTGTTAAACTGACTTTAGAATCATATTATTGGTTGTTTGTTTATTTGGGTAATGGCTTCTTTGTTTATAGGAGAGGTGGAGCAGTGGGTAGCCCAGCGATTAAATCATTTGCTTTTCAGGCTGAGGCCTGGGTTTGATTCCCCACATGGGTACAATATGTGAAGCCCGTTTCTGGTTGTCCCTGTCGTGATATTCCTGGAATATTGTTAAAAGCTGTGTCAAACCCAACTCACTCACTCACTTAATGGAGAAGTGCAGTGCAAAGTTACTGATGTCCCAGTTTTTTTTCAAAATGACTTTTAGGATTGTTTTCAGATTTGGGGAGCAACTTCTGTGTGTTGAACCTACTGTTGCTCCCTGGAAACTAATTATCTCTGAATATATCTCTTTCAGTATGTGGAAGCCATGTATGACTTTTGTCCTGAAAGCTGTGATGAGTTGGCATTCAAGAAAAAGGAAGTGATCAAACTCATCGACAAGGTGGACGAGAACTGGTGGAAGGGTGAACTCAAGGGGTGATAGGTGTCTTCCCAGCCAAATATGTCAAGATGAAATAACACCAGGACAGAACAGCGCCACAGTGACGAGCTTAGTGACAAGCACCTGCTGCACAAGTATTCGCTTCAGTGGCAGAGCCAGACGAGATTGTGAATTTAAAGTCATATTTAATTCATACATTAGGTATTCTCATCGAGTATCATGATACAGTTATTTGCAAACTTGTGTTTGTAATTTAGCTTGTACACCAAGTGCCAACTTCATTTTATCAAACCAAGTTTTATGTGTTGTTTTTGTTTGCGGATTTGCTTGGAAGCAATTTTATGGATTATCTGATCACCCCACCAGTCTTTGAGTATTGAGATATTTCTTGGACAGTGTTATGTTAGTGTATGGGATTAGTGTGATTGTAGTACAAGCTATATCTAACTAGAGCAATAATTACTTTCTTGGGTGCAGCAGAAGCTTTTGTGTCCTGTAGGATGCATTGATCTTTGTACTAACCCATGAACAGGACATGTGAAAATGATGCATGATAACTTTGGTCGATTTACATTCTTTTTTATAACTAAATATGCTCATTTATCTTTAGTTAGAAATCTTAATGTCTATATTCTGATGAACCTGTGATTTGAATTTGAAGGTATGATATTGATTGATAACTCAAACCTGGATGTGAGTTTCTTTGCAGAGTAAAATGGTTTCATTAAACTGAGGTTTCAAATGTAATATGGAGGTATCAAACCAATAACATACCTCAAGATTCAAAACGTAACAGGTTTATCTTTTCTACCATGACAAAATCAACTGCAAAATGAAAAGTGACAGTCTTTGATTGCCTGCAATATTGCTGATGTGGCTTAAAGCAACATTCACTCACTCACTCATTGATGATATGGTATTTGGCTAAGTTTGCGAGTGGGTTGTTGAAGTTCAGTCAGTGCTTCTAACTAGATGCCCATGAGGGAGGTATGCCATGTACTTACTTTAAGTGTACATTTCCAGTGATACACTTCACTCACAATGTCAAAATCAAACAATGTAGGAGTGCTGTATTGAGAGAAAAAGCAGATGCCCATACCTTAAAATAGTGAAGCAGATGTTGCATTATTGACAGGTTTTTCCATACATACATTACAAAACATCACTCAGTTGAGGAAGTAAGAATGAACTTGGAGTCAGTAACACAAAAGGGTCAAATTTCAGGCCCTAGAAATGGATAACATACTCACACATTTGTTTAATGTCAAGTGTTGGTCCAGTATCGATAGCCATTGAGTTTGAATGTTCAAGGAACCACAACACGTTATTTGGCTAAATAAAATATGCTAGTCTTATCAATTTTAAAATCTGCCTTCACATAAGATTTGATAGTTTAGATTTTTCTTATTTGCTCTTACAATGATGCTGTCGTGAATGTTTTGAATTAGAGGTGTGTTATGGTGAATTGAAACTTCTGATTTGATAGCAAGTTCTACTTAGTCATGGAAGAATATGTATGTGGTCAGGAAAACTGTTCAATGATTCAGTATAGAATGTGTGTGATTATTTGGCACGGCTAAGGTGGGTTTGTGCCATCATTTTAACACAAATATGCTACGGAGGAAGCACTTGATTCTCCAACAATCTCTCAATTTGCCATAATTGATAGTATCCATTGGGATATGAATAAGATTGTCTTTAATGCATCATTTTGAATAATTTAAGAGCTTCTTTTTAATTATTGAAAGGAAAGACTTTTCAGGTGTTGAACACTATACCTCAAAATGATTCAGTGTTGAATAATGATTCTATCTTGATAATCCTTATGATTGATAAGCCTGTTATCAACTTAAATATTATTATTACAATGCAAAATATTTTACATACTTTGATTTGCCATGTCTTTATATCTGTAAATATTGTACATTGTAAAAAGAAATATGCGACTTCTGAATCTTGCACAATATATCTCCTTAATATGGCTGCATTTGACAGGGAGTAATTTTTCAGCCGAACTGTATATTTGTGTTAATGGAAGTATGATTATGAATGCTGTTTCCGTGAAAGCAGCAAAACTATGGTAACCTGTAATAAGGTGGCTGGGTAGTTTAAACATGTTGCTACAGTAACTTTTGATTAAAAGCTACTGTAACTATGGCAACTGTTTGGCAATGGTCTGCATTTAGTATTATTTACATTTTCTGCAATCTGTAGCTAGATATGTATAAACTATTCCATCACTTAACATAGAAAGTGTGGGCTATGGCTTCCAAACATTTTAATGTGAGAAAGGAGAAGTTAGAGTAAATGTTTGTATGGGGTGAGGCTTTTTATCAGCATTGTCGTGAAGATATGGTTGCTTGGCAAAAAGAATAAATTGCCATGATTTATGCAAAGAATTTTCCTGATTTTCTTTGCTTTCAGGGTTTATACTGCATGAACTCGTTCAGCGATAATGTTTTTCATAGGGTTCACATAAGCAAGAAATGGTCTTATTTTGAGGCTCATCTTGAAAAAATTGTAGAATTAAAAGTCTGCCTTTAATATGCCTTAAAAATTCTGATAGTGTGCCTTGAAAAGGCCTTGACTTTTCTTTATGAAATGTGTATGTAAAACTTTGTAGAAACTAATTTTTAAAATCATAGTTATCTCCCTTCCAATGATAGTCTGCTTCTGTAAGATTCCAGTGTATAATTTGCATGTCCTTGAACTTGTGGGAGGGAGCTTTGATAAAGTATCAGTATTAAACTTTGCAACAGTTTCACATGATACAGATTTTGATTTTAACACCACTGGTCATTGACTTGGGAAGGTGGTGAACATGTGTGCATACTTGTTACATGTGTTTCCGGAACAATTCAGTAACTTTTATCAATGTTCTAAATTTTGCCTGACTGTTAGGGTTGGACTTTTAGGAATTCCCCATTTACTGATTTAATTTTGGTCCTTTCTATTTAACACCCTCTTGGCATGAGCTTCTTCAGTAAAACTTATCAACAAAACTTATCAACATTTTTAGATCATGGGTCAAGGTTAGTCTCAAGGTCATAAGGTCAAAAATAAGGTTGTTCACATACCTTAAGGGCAATGACTAGGCAAATAAATTCGGTCCATGCCATCCTGGCAGTCTAGTCTTGAAGCTGATGTTTTTTTCAAATGACCTTGCATGATGTAAAATTCTCTGTGAAGGTCATCTATTCAGGCGATGACCTAGATATATTTCTTATTGCCCAAGTGGTTTCAACGGAATGGAAGTTGTTGCTGTCGCTTTTGGACGGCAATGCAAACTGTTCAATAGGTTTAATGCATTTCCTATTTACAAATGCTTTTTGCTTGTCATTGCCTTTGCAAGTAGATTAAGTTTTTTATTTTGCGAATGTATTGAGCATTGGACAGATGTTGAAGATCTCCTGCCACAAATAAAACTTTTTCACACTGTCTTGCAACAATAAGCTTTAAGCATCAAGAAAAGCTGAACAAATGGTGATGAATATAAACATTGCATGATGATGCAACCAACCGATGGTGGTGTGGTACCAGTGTCATGAAATGATGGCTGGTGATTTCATAATGGTTGGCACGGATTATTGTCATTCAGTATTATGTGTAGATAGTTAGTATAGATAGAACTGCTTTCCTTGGTCAAACCAATCTGAATATATATTGCTGTGTCCACCTCCGGTATGCCCAAACAAAGGACACAGCATCTCCTTTGTCCATTGTAGTAATATTGCAGGATCTCAGATTTGCTGTCTCCCTCTCACTTGTATTGTGTGCAGGAATTAAGACTGTATTATGGTGGTTGATTAAATCCTCATTTTGTACATGCTCCTTTGTTTGAAATAAGGAGTGTTAGTCAAGGGGTTCTTGTCATTAACTTTATCACAAAATGTCAATCGTAGATTTGATCTTTTACTCCGATTTGATAGCTCTCTGCATCAGGATTTGGAGGACTCTTCCATGGACGGTTGTGTATGTTGAAGTCTGTTGAAACTTTGACTGCCCAGTCTACATGGAGGAAGGGTTGGTCATCGAGCCAATCAGATGTCACATTTGTATAATAAATTGGCATCATTTCTTTACCATCTTGTTTCAGAAATTTTGATAGAAGAAAATCCTGAAAGAACACGTATATCTCTTCAATTGTTCTCCCATGTTGACATTGATGCTCTGATAGGACTGGGTGAAAAATATACCAACAGCAATATGATTGCTTAGCATTTATCAATTATATTGGATTAACTTCATTTTCAAGGTAGAGAAATGCTTTGCTCACTCATGTTGAAGCTTAATCGCTGATTGGAACCACAGATAGAGATGTCCTCGTATTATCACACAGAGGTCTTCTGTGGCACTATTATATCTAATATATCCAGACTTGCCTATCCTTACGATTTTGGTGTAAGTCGTACTATTTTTGGTGCTAAATTATGACCTTACGATCATACTGAAATTCCTTACAACTTCTACAAATAAATGGTAGAATACTAGATATAGGCGTGACCATGCTATTTATAGAGTCATTTACGGTACATAAAGTACGGGAAAACAGAAGTCGCATCATAAACATTATAAATGAATAATCTTTGCATCTTACAGTGCTGGTAAAGTTTATTTCAAAGTGAAAGACTATCAAAAACGTTAATTAGATCGACACCACATTTTACTATTAAACACTATATTAAGATTTCAACCAGCAATGTTTTTCCTTTATTTCTTGACATTAACATGCCTTACTATCAAATGCACCTGCCTTACTATTGTTTTGAGCTGATCTTACCATTTTCTTTTAAAAGGGGTAGGTAAGTCTGTGTATCTATATCTGATGTTAATGATTCCGATGTTATGTCAGATTCAAATACTGCTGCAGGAATCTTCCAGTACCCAAGGACACTCTAACCCTAACACAGTACATCTATCTCAGAGCTGAAATACTGCTGTATGGTTCTGAAGCAGACCAAGGAGGAAGTGCCAAATGTTTGTAATTTGTTCTACATTGGGTATAATCAAAATATATCATCAAGATATGACATTTAAGGCAATGACTTGATATGCAGCCATTTTGTGTACAGTCTAAGTGACCTATTGCTCAGTATTATTCGTTACACTTCTATACCGAGTCTAACAAACCCTAGTAGAAAGGTCGCGTCAGCTAACCATTTGAATTGACCGGTCAGAACACAGCTTACCAAATCGTGAAAGTTATTATTAGCACATACCGTTTGAACCTTTACCTCGAAAACTTGAACCGTTCTGAATGCTATTTTCCACATGATCACGAGTGATACACATGGAGGACGCCATTATTCACAACAATGAGTAAACAGTTGCTGACAACAGTGTTTTTGTCAATATTCAAGGATGTCATCTTGCAGACATATAAGCTAATAGTAACCATGTCATCAGAAACCCCCAAGCATATATACTGCAGGTCAAATATGTGTTTTATGCAGGTTTTTGTTTGTTGAGAGATCAGTGTCAGCGACCAGGGAAGAGAAAATCCCGCCGAACCCTAAATAGTAGCCATTGTCTGATTGGTTAAATCCTTTCGGACGTCTTGCATTTGATTGGACGGTCAAAGGTTACCTGACGCGACCTTCTACTAAGGTTTGTTAGACTCAGAACGGCAGTGTAAGGAATAATACCGAGCCTAAGTTTACTTACACTGTTTTGTGTATTGTGTGCAAATCAGTACTCTTCCATTATTTGAAGTTTGTGAGGTTTTGTGCAGAGTCTGACATCAAGCAGGTGCAAATCAAAGTACTGGTGTGATCCACGCCGACCAACAGTGTGATCTTTAAGACCAATATGTACATAATAACTCTGCAAGGGAGCATTTCAAAAGTTTTATGCTGGATAAAATCTAAATTCCTTAATTTTGAGTGGTTAACCATGTTAGATGTGGATGCTTTTCATGCCCAAAATAAATCTTAATTTTAAAGGGGTATACATTTGAATTTATGTAAGACAACTCTTCTTGTCATCCCATCACAGGTGTAAAATGCAGTATGGTATAAATGCAGGCAACTTGCTTGTTCTCAAAAGCTTTACCTCACCAACATGTAAATTATTGCAGAGAATTTGTTTGACAAGTATCTTTTGGATATCAACATTTTCACCAAGTTCTTTAGGATGGGTGTTCACACTAAACTTTTAAACTGTTCACTTGCGGGAATAGTATGGAATTATTTGTTCTACTGATGATGAATCTGACTGTTCAGTGAGTGTATACTGTAAAATATTGAACCATTTGGTAACATTTTGCAATAATTAGACATGATGCAGGTGTATAGCATCTTCTGATGTTCAAGAAGAAAATCTTAGCCTTTGGCTTTGAAATGGGGGAAAGTTTAGCTCGAGTGGTTGTCATTGTAGATGATCTTACACCATTCAGTCTAACATGACACGAAAGGCTTGTTGCTTGACTATGTATTGTGAACATGCAGGTGCTGGACTGTGCCCTGTGTGTATCTTGTTACCGCTGGTTACGTGTATATGGTTATTGTATACATATGCTTTGTGTGCTCGTTTTCAATATGCTGTGCATTTGAAATCTGTTTCCTCTTCATGTGTTGCTGTCTGGAATACTATATATCCCTGAATAACCCCACGGTCTATATATCTGAATGTCAGACATTTAATTGCAGGCAGGCATTGCATTTTTCCGAGATTATCATTTTTTTCTGTTTGTTTTTTTTCTTTATTAACTTAGAAATGTTTGCATTTTAGGGATCATAGCTTGACAGAGTGTTTAATCAAGGCTGGCTTATATTTTGAATTTTGGTGCATTGTTTTGCCTGCTGTATACCATGGTGTTTGTAAACATCACTTTCAGTTCTTAACTTAAATGTATTAAGAAATATCCATCATGACCGGGTCAACATGTTAAATCTACATCAGTTTATTGAACTTGAAACCTTGTGTGAGTGCCATTTTGTTACAACTGTCCAACCAATATTGAATCATTGTTATAAAAGAGAAGTTAGACTAGTTAGACTCAGGGAAGGGGAACAAGATTATCTTGGCTAAGAAGTATTTTCATTTTAAGTAAGGAAAATACAGACTGAATGTTTTAAAATGGCCTCATCTATTACTGTTCGAGATATACATTGATTCATTTTTAAGGTGTAACTGTGAACGTTATGGTTGACCAGACACATTTATTAGTGTCCCTTATAAGTGATGGATGTAATAATTGTCATGAGTATAGTTTAACCCTGTTATTCTGGATACTGTGTATTCTGAAACACCACCATCCAACATTTTCATATATAACTGCATTGTCAAAGGGACATTACTGCATGTCCATGCTTTCTTATGTGTCAAACCTTGATAATCAGGAGGCCTTCACTGACTTCTGTCCGAACAAGACTTTATACAAGTTTTCATGGAAGAAACAGTGAAATATTTTGTTCCGTTGTCAATACTTCTCAGGTTTTATATACACAATGTTCTTTCATCAGCTGTGAATGCATACAATAGGAAACCAGTTATTGCTGCGAACAAGTGCCCTGGTTATATGGAACATATGATGCGTATGTTTGAATCCATTTGTCCAGATTGTGTTTCTGGGTTTGTTGCATCACAAACGCTCTGGGTACAATGTGTGAAACCCAGTTCTGGTGTTTCCTTCCGTGATATTACTGGAATATTGCTTAAACTAAACTCCCTCACTCACTCTTTATACAGGGAAGGGATGGCAATTTTCAATGGTGTCCTCCCATTACGCAGACAGCCAGTTCGCAGACACCTTAAAACAACATTTACGGTTCAGTGAACAGATTAACTACTACCTGTTACCTGCACATTATAATGGAATAGTCCAAATGAAAACACAGGAACAAGCTGAAGCTATATTATTTATTTTGAAAGATGGACGAACAGACAGTTATTTGAATTTTTATTGCTGCAATATAAAAAGTTTATTTTCATTAAACATTAGCTTAGCTATTAGAAATTGCGACACTGTTGTATCATATAAATCAAATAAAGACAAATGTGAACCTAAATATTATTCATATGGAATAAAGAATTTTTATGTTTTGCACACAATATATTAAGATATATGACGAGTGCACTTAATTACAATTTATTTAGAATGAATATTTAAAATATGACGCATCATGTCAATGTGGCCATGGATGTGAGAATGTTTTTCATTATTTCCTTGAATGTCCATTGTATACTACTCAAAGACATAAACTGTTACAATCTTTAGAAAGTATTGTATCTAACTGTAATTAACATTGTCTGAACCGGCATGGGTATGAGCAATCAAGGACCCATAATCCAATACACTATTAATCCTCTTGTCACGCAAGATAATCAGGAAGTAGTGATTGCACAGTGAATCAAACGCTCTAAAGCCGGTATGGGTATGAGCAGTCCAATCAAGGTCCCTTAATCCAATACACTCCTCTCGGCACGCTAGATAATCAGGAATAAAGAGATTAGCGAGTGTAAATGGCAGCCATGTTCGAAAATGATCGTCACTGTCTAATCCGGCACCCTGCCTAAACCGGGATTTTATTTTGGTGCCATGGGTTGCCGGTTTAGAGAGGTTTCACTGTATGCTATTATTGGGAGGGGTCTTTTCTATCAATAAACACAATCAAACCTCTCAGTGACAAACCTGTTTTTATATTCGATAGTAATTGATAGTAAGATCAATTTTGAGAAGAGAAATCATTTATCATTTAATCACAACAAAGTTCTATTTACACACAATCAAACTTCTCAGTAACGAACCTGTTTCAGGCTCACCCTGCTCTACTCACTAGACAGTGGACTGTTCCATTATACCCGTAGGTTTTACCCTAATTAACCTTCTAGTTCAGTGTCTGTCAATTGGGTGTCTGTCAAATGGGAGATAACTTTTTCAATATAATTTTGATGAAGGGACATAGTGAATACAAACCTGTGAAGTACTGACATTGTCCCACTTCCCTGATTCTATAAACGTTGTCATATGAGCGAAATATTCTCAAGCACGACGTTAAACCTAATTTCACCTCACCTCACCTGATTCTATAAAGTCTGAACAAAACAGGCCTCGTTTCCCACCGTTATAAATCAGTATTTGTGTTTCTCAGCTTGTGCTTGATTACTCCCTGATTTTTAGGTTGTTACAGAAGGTTTTACACATTGTTATGCCTCGGGTACAGAAGCGGTTCTGTATGGTGCAGAGCTGCATGATTATGGCAGGATTCTGGGGAACACCCAGTAAAGGCTGGAACACAGACATAATGAAGCCAAAGTTATAAGTTGAGTGTTTTTATCTTGTGTTTTATCTCTGATACGTGTACCAACAAATGTGATGAATGCTTAGGCTGTTAGGTTTACAGTATGCTTGATTATCCAGTGGATTTGATCATAATGTTTTGATATTTATCCTGGACTATTCGCTACCATTGCTTTAAGACTAATTCAATAGACACATCGCTAAAATTGGCTATCCAGTCAAATTTTTCTCATGAAAGAGATATCCTGGTCAAGAGATAGTGGTGATGGAGATGATTACGCCATTTCCTGAAGGAACAGTGGTGGATGGGCCCATGGTATTTATCATATATTGGAGATAAAACACCCTGGATGGGTCTATGGATGCCCAGGAATGCCTGTGCTCAGATATATTATACATGCTGGCTTCTATTTAATGGCACAGATGATATTTTTAATCATATGCATATGTTTTTTTTCATATGGATATGAAATTCAATGGTTGTAAGCCACGGTAGGTTGCCTATAGGAGGATGTGTCCTGCCCAAGCCTTTCTGATGTTTTAGTGTATCAACAGTCAGTCATTGAAATGTTTGATATAGAAACAATCATTCTTTGTATATGAGGTGTAATAATCGCCACTAACATTGTCGTTGCAACGTGTTGGTCCTTTAGAAGAGTGGTCCACTTGTCCAATATGTATTTGCCAAATAAGTTTTCTTGTCAAAACAGTTACCGTAGTCGATTTAATTACTACCCAGTGTGAAGGAGGTTGGATCGTGGGATTGTGCTGAATGTAATTTGTCCCTTATTAACTTATTTGAAATCTATTGAAACAAATGTTTCATTATAAATCCCATACTGAAAGTTATGTCAACAAAGATAGAGCATTATGTCTCAAATATAGAAAAGTATAATACTTTATGGATAACAACTTCTATTTTCGGAATAACCTCTTTTACCGTTGTCATGCTTGAAGCTATACCGAAACGTCGCATCATAAGAAATATAGAAGTTGTTATCCATAAAGTATTATACGTTTCTATTATCCATCAACTTCTAAAATGCCAATCAAACAGGTCTCAAATATACACAAATGCCAGTTTTAGGAGATTCTGCTTTTGCAACAGGGAAAGAAAATAGTGCTGCAAGAGACAGTCTTTATACTGTGATGATGTGTCACCTCATTTCCAGTACTGACATTACCCCAGGTTTTATCCATATGTGGGTAATTTGATTACCATTAATGATATTTTTATGCAAAATATGTTGAGTGATTTCCTTAGTCATCTCCTTGGTAAAGAATCAAAATGGAGTGGTAGGCAAAGTCTGCCAAATTCAAAAAGACTTCCCATTTTTCCAGTTGGAGACTTCACTCATGTAACTAGAAAAGTACGTTATTTTGGGTAGTGGATGGAAGTTGTAGTGAAGTGAAGGGCACCTCCAGTGGTTGTCAAAATGTTTCAAGGCTGAAACCTAACATCATGGGTTTGAGTGCCAGTTTTTTCCTGATTCTGTTCTTCTGTCAGTCGGCACCATTACTTGTGCTTGTGGGGTTCTCCTTGTTAAGTTTGTGGTCATTATAAGGATGGTGGACTGGGTGCTAATTATGTCGACTACAGTATGTATTGAGGATGGCTACTGGTATAGTAAAGCCTAAAACAAATTGTGCTCTATTCATTGTGTGACTTGCAGGTTACCAATGCATTTACTATGAACATCTGCAATAAGTGGAAAGACATGTATATGGAAATTATTGCGCAGCACTTCAGATGCTGCCAGGTTCGAAAGATATGCTACTAAATCAAAGCCGTCTAGTCGTTGAAGGAACTGTGTATGTTGACATAGTACAGTCAGTGTTGGTAATCTGCCTATATCCTACTACTGCTGAAAATGGCCAACCTAGGAGAAGACTGTTCACTTTTGTTTAAAGTAAGTCAGTGTTGTGAGCATTTGGCAGTGATTTTTTATGTCCAATATACAAAACAGTATACATTATATTACTCATTTAGTTAGCTTCTGTACAATGTTTTCATTAGATTCTAGTGTTTCTTAACTCTTGTGAAAAGTCCAACTGATTTCCAATGTTGTATACATCAAGATTGTATCATTTCCAGTAATAAGTTATCTTTGAAGATTTGGGATTAAGTAATGGGTCGTTTGAATACAAATAAAAAATTTCAGTGATACGAAATAGCATTATTCAGACAAAAATCATTTAAAGTTTATTACAAGTATAAATTGATTGAGAGGATTCATATTAAATATTACCTAAAATACTCAATTATAATGACAAAAAAAATAATTTTCTTTTCTTTTTTAACAAAAACATTGGAAAAGAGACTGGTATTAGCTGTGTTTTGATATGATACACTCAGATTTTGTATGCAACATTGCAATCAGTATATGATGATGGCAGAACAGCAGCACTTCTAAATGTCAAACCGTCATTTTTGTGTTTGAACTCGAGCGATAAGCATGCCCTGTTATTTGATGTACCTTTCATTACTGACAGGTAAAACTTGCTGGTAAATTTTCAGAATGACTGAGGCTGTGGCTCGTCAAACACATGGTTTTGACTGGACAGAGGTGGCTGAAAGTGCCTAGACGCTGTCCACTCAGCTGTAACCTGCATCTCCAGCTTTGAGTTGTGACGACTTCAGCGGGCCTGGAGATGTCATTCCTCATGCTGTAGCTAGTCCCCCTGTTCCCTCCCTTTTGTACTGTACAGAACTTTCACCCAGTGTTTCTGTCTCACTCATCCTTACTTTCTTCGCCAGTGTCATGTATATTGATGAAGCTTTTTCTTCAATTAAAGGTGTTGATATTGAACATTGGTGTATATGTTTTGTTTTTCATCACCCATGTGATACAACTACATACCAACTCGCATATGCATGATGAAGAAACCTTATACTGGTACATACAGTAAACTATGGTATTGACAAAATCAGCACGACATTTCAGTTTGGTTCATTATGACAAAACCTGTGAAGATACGGGCTAGAACTAATCTTCAGCACATCATGCTTGTCGTAAACGACGACTAACAGGATCGGGTGGTCAGACTCTCCAACTTCCGATGCATCACATCGTATTGGGTGGTCATGCATGTTTGCTGACATGGTTGACACATTTTTTGGCATCAATTGCATAGATTGATGCTCATGATGTCAGTAACTGAATTGAACATGTTATATTTGGAATTACAGTTTCTTATAGTACAGATGGGAGTACTTGTTGAGATAAGTCCTATCCAGGTTTTGAACCACCACTCCCACAGTCGGGCACATAATCGCCAGCAGAAGCAACATTGGCTGAGTGGGCAGAGTGCTGATTGGTGTAATCTAAAATATTACATGTTAGACTGGACCACTTTCTAAATGGCTTTATGCAATAGAGGTGACTATTGAGGGTGAAACAACTATTGCGACTCGTCACGATATGGCTGAGATATTGCCAATGTGACGTTAAATCTTAACTCACTCACTCACTATTGCGACTAACTATTGCAATAGGTTTTTTCTCTTTGAATTTCCCAATGAATGTATAGTTTATATGGAATAAAAACAAGCTGATGTCTCTTTTAATAACTGACAAGAAACCTGAAACCCATATCAAGTTTGTTTAGGAGGTAACAGGGGTGGATAACTCTAAGTCAAAGTAAATGAATCTTGTTCTTCCTGTATTTTGTGCTGCGCATTTATCAACAGAAGTCAATTACATTGTACAAAAAACTATCGATAGTCACACATGCTATCGATGCATGGATAGTTTTTCGTTTCTGCCATCGACTAATTACTATCGGAGACTCAACAATTGCAATCCATCAATAGTTGGATGCATCGTTACAGTTCTAGTATTCATTCACTGGATTGCTGGGTCCAGACTCAATTATTGACAGACTGCCATCGTATAGCAAGAAAATTGCTGAATGCTTCATCAAACAACAAAGGAACATAATGACTGGAGTTCATTGTACGCATTTAGACTAAAATATACTGCAGATGTCCAGGACCACAAACATACTTTGTTGTATTTGTCAATTTGTTATAAGTGTGTTTATTATAAAGATTGATTAAAGTCAGGATGAAGTAGGACATGCAAGTGTGGGAAACATTCTGATACAAATTGGGTAGGGGTTTGCAGAGTGGTTCAAATGTTCACTTGTCATCCTGACAATGTATGTTAGATTTCATTCAGAACTGCCTGTTTGTTGATTTGGGACATCTACAGAACTTGCAAGCCTTGATGCTAATTGATAGTCCACTTAATATAAACCTATTGTAGATTTATGAAATCTTTCAACGTCATCAATATTGTATCCGGGGCAAATCTGTGATTTCAATTTTGTGGGACCTCTGTTGAACACAAGCAAATATATAGTTTTCACAGATGTAGAATCATACTCAAATTGTAGACTGAAACTGAAGATGAGCAGATCCAGAAGGAACCAATCTTGCATATGGTCCATTGGGCCACCCACAGTGACCTGTAATTTATGTACAAAAAAGGTGACCCCCCATGTCATGTACAAAATCAGTGGACCCCCCCCATTTCTAAGTATAATTTGATACATATTTTTATGAACAAAATTGCTGGACACCCCACCCCTACTACAAAATTGCTGGACAAACAACCCCCAGTACTACAAAATTGCTGACCCCTAGCTCCCCAGAACAAAATTGCTTACCCCCACTTAAAATCATCATCATCACACACATACACACACACACACACAGCCATAAATTATGAACGGTCCCTTATTCCAGCTATATGACTGTGGTCTGTGAATAATCGTGTCGAGACCAAACAATCCTGTGATTGACATGATGAGCATTAATCTACACATTTGGGATGCAATAAGATATCAGCCCAGTCAGTGAGCCTGTCCTGTTGTTCACCTCTTACTGCAAGCATGGGTTGCTGTAGGCCAGTTCTAACCTGGATCTTCACAGATCCAGTCAGTAAATAATCAGGTCTGGACTAGACAACCACACCTCACCTTCAAGGTACGTTTACAATGATTCGCCATCAACCAAGTCACAGACTGACCACCCAATACGTTAAGTTGCCTTGAACAACCAGCATGGGATGCTAGGGATGAATTTTAATCATGATTTCTCACAGGTCATCAATTTAGTTGCCTCTAACAACAACCAACATGGTGCTGGGGACACTTCTTCAGTGGGGGCAGTGGGGTAGCCTGGTGGTTAAAGCGTTGGCTTGTCACGCCAAAGACCCGGGTTTGATTCCCCACATGGGTACAATGTGTTAAGCCCTGCCGTGATATTGCGGGAATATTGCTAAAAGCAGCGTTAAACCATACTCACTCACTCTTACTCAGTGTCCTCTTAGGGGTCAAGCACACAACAGATTACAAAGGCACTCACAAGGAAAATGGAAGTTTTTATCTACATAATTTACAAGTTCACTTTTTCCGTTTTGGTTTCTTTTTAGATTTGTTCTTTCCTTTGGGCTTAACACCTTTTGACTTCATTTTGGAGCTTCCAGATCTTTTCTTTTTCTTATCAGCATTCCCACACTTTTGAAGTCTGTAACAACAATGAAGCACAACTGAATATATATGTACAAGGGTATCATCATTTTCAAAACAAGAGGAAGGGTAAAACAAAGTGCATCAATAATGTCACAACATAATACAAAATTTTCCATTCAATTTCCATACATCATATTGATGTTATCTTTCTAAGATATGAACAAGCCTATGGTTGACAGTGTGAACACCAAATCATATCCTTGAGTTTATAATGACATGATCAGCAAGACCCCAGCCAAGAGATAATGAGTAACTATTGTGGCCAACAAATCATTTGTGAATTCATGGCAGTCCTTGTTTTAGGGATTTCTTGATCCAAAAGCTTAGAAGACCTCAAGGGCCCCAATAGCACTCAAAAATTTAAATACTAGTTTGGGATTATTTAAAAGTGAAGATGAAAAAAAAAAAGATTCAAAACTGAAATCATGAACACCCTACATCAAATATGTATAAAACTGGGCAACATTGAAATACTTAAAAACCTTGAAACCCGGTCTGTTGTCAGCCATTGCGCATGTCATACTTAAATCTCTAAAACTCAAATTTGGTATAAAAATATGGAAATAATTGATCACTGATTTTATAATTGATTCTACTGTTACAAACTGAAACCAATCCATTGTTTATAAATAAAAAGACATGGAAAAACACTGAACACATCATAAACACTAACTTCTTTTTGAGACGAGCCAGACTTTTATCCATCTTCTTTATGTCAGGTTGTTTTGTTTCTGTTTCTTCATCTTCATCAATATCATCTGCAGCCTGCAACGTTGAGATTCAGAATAGATATCAGACCCATACACTGTTGGACCATCTCTCTTAAATGGCAACATGTACTCACTTTCAAAGGTCCTGCAGTAATGTAGGCAATATGTAGAGTAAGTTTGGTTGAATGCCACTCTGAACAGCATTTCAGTTACAATTACATTGCTACCGTATCAAGTCAGCTAAATTTTGGAGGGATACAGAAGTGGCACATCAAAAGGGACATAGCTCCGTCATGTCAAAGGGACACAACTCCGCACTGGAAACTGTACTGCCTTTGATAACTGGGCAAATACCACAGGCCTACCACAGAAACCAGGACAGGGCAACCAAATTATGACTTAGTGTAAACAGAAAGAGCTAAATAAATTACAAATATATTTTAAACAGAAATAGCCACATAAATTACAAACAAGACAATCCCAGTAAAATCTGCATGGTAATCTGCCATATTTTCAGTACAGTCTGCAACTAACTCTGACAATATTCAAGCAAGTGAATATATTGTTGACTTCATTTTCAGTTGGAGAAAGTCCTCAATTTATTGATTAGTTTCGTACTCAAAGCTTGTCCTTGAACTAACAACTTTGAACCAGCCACATGAGCAAAACTAGATATTTTACTTTCTCCTGCAAGAAATACTAGTTTGTCAATCGTACCATATTCTGTCCAAGACGAAGTCCACCCTCTGAGGAAAAGTCGACATCAGCGATGTCTGTGATGGTGACTGTGTGGTTGGGGAGATCAAACTCTGTGGCGTCCACCAAGTGCTCCACCTCTGGCACAGTGAACACCTGCTGCTGATTCATCCGCTTCTTCATAATCTCTCGTGTCTATATGAACATGAGGTTTCCATGGTTACTGTGAGTATATATCCATATCTGTTGCGTAACAATCAGCTATATTCAAGCTATATCAATCATAACAACTTCAGGGGTGGAAATAACTTTAAAATTGCTAGTGTACTCCGGTACAGTGGCACATGTAACACCACTTGCCCTGATAATATTTCCACTACACCGGCCGTTTTCTTGTTGACTGTTTAAATAAACAACATAATTAACATTGGAAAGTCAACTGGATACCGGTACAGTGTGATATACAAATTTGCTTGCTCGACAGAAAAAACACTGGTCTCAGACGTCGGGCAATGGGTTCTTTCCACCCCTGACAACACCACGAACAGTCAAATCGAGATCTCACGAACTAGCAGCTGAGATTGCATGATTAACCCAGCATGTCATTTACATGTAGTGACATGGGATACACATGGCTATGTGTTTGTCCAGACAAGTAAATATCTAGATGAACTAATTATTTCAAATCACCAATTGTCTGAAGTGAGCAATTAACTTGTTGGAAATTACCACCCAATTACCACATATCGTCAGTTCTTATGACAAGCATGACGCTTAGTCTACCAGTTATGACACCAAGTCTGACCACCACATCCCCACTTATATTCGGCTCCATTCTGTGTGTTTTGAAAGAAATATGAACAACCCTATCTCTACGTATACATAATCATGTTGAATTGGAGCCAACGGTCAACATGATCAAAGGCTTCCTTCATGCTGAAGGGACACAACTCACACCCACAGTAAATTGTGGGCCACATTTGCCCCCTACCAGATGGTGATATACATCTCTGAAATGCTCAAGAGGTGAGGTGAAATTGGGTTTAACGTCGTACTTGAGAACATTTCGCTCATATGACGACGTGCATGCGTGTGTACGTGTATGTGCGGCTGCTTGTACTAGCCCAGACTTAAGCTGGTTTTATAGTGCTAGCCCACTGAGATACCATGCCGCAGTGAAGCATGAATACCCCACTCAGACACATTATACTGACTCCGAGCCGACCAGTCCTTGTTGTACCCATGAATGCCGAGCACCAGGCAGGGACCAACAAGTACCATATTTTAACGTCTTTTGGTATGACGCGGTCGGGGATTGAACCCGCGACCTTCCGCTCTCCGGGCGGACCTCTAACCACTAAACCACTGAGGCGGTGAAATGCTCAAGAAGAAAAAGCTATCAATAATACATTTGATCATGTTATTAAAACGAAACATTCTTCTGAAGAACAAAACCCATCCACTCCTTTTCTCCCCGTCCTGCACCAAGAACACACCTGCTTCCTGAGTGCCTTCCTTTCTTCTACCATCCTTTTCTTCACTTTCTCTTCATAATATTTCTTTCTCTCAGCTTTCCTCTTTCTGAATCCTGTCAGGTAGTCTCTGTGAGGAATATAGGTAATATCATTAATTGTTCAGGATTCATGATATATTGATGCATAGTAGATCACCCCTAAAGCCATGACTATAATGATGCTCTTACCTATTTATTCAATCACATCTTAATTGAGTATTAATTTCCAAAAGGTTCTATTAAAATGTTTTCAATAGCTTACATTAATAATACTGCTGGTTATTGTTCTCAACATGCAGATTGATAATCAGTTCAGTAATTGTTGAATAATTGGTTGTAAACATAAACCCCACCACAAACCTCACATGGGCAGTTACGGGACATAATAATAACAGTGACACTGTGCAAATCAAACGGACACTGTTTAATACTACGATCAAGATGATCGAGGGTACTTCCTGTCGAGACAGGCAAATGAGCATGTTGTTCTTTACATTGCAGTTTTACGAGACAGGAACCTGCATCAGTCGTTTATGTCTTAAACAAACATAACAATATAAGACATACTTACTAATGTTATACTGGATGTTTAATTTTATATGAATATTGATTAATCAGTATCGTCAATATATATTTGGGCATTTGTAACCTTAAAACATATCAATAAATCTTACACTCTAGTCAGTTAAGCTGTATTTGACATGCATAATTTCACACAAAATTCTGTAAATTTAGAATAGCAGTAAGTATGGCTTAGGTAATTCACTAAGTAACAACCCTACTGGTAGGTGACAGCGGGTCACCCACTGTGTTTTCCGTAACGGCTATGGTTAACTACTTGCAAGTAGAGAGTGATTACCCTCTGCCAGGTTTGAGTTTCAGACAGTGGTAGTTGTTCCAAGTGCATCACATAGACTTTACTAATGTAGGTGTAGGAGCCATAACAGGATTTGATCAACTGGCCTCATCCAAAGTCAAACACTTGGTCCACAAGGCTCAAGAAGTTTACCCTGTAATCATTCGACAAGTTAACTTAGTTTGCCACCGGTGAGATAACTCCATGTCTTGCTACAAAGGGTTGCTTGGAATATGCAGAGCAAACACATCAACACAATAACCACTCAGCAGCCTAAACTATCTCCCTGTGAAGATCCGGGTCAGATTGAGCCTTCAGCAACTCATGCTTGTCGTAAGAGGCGACTAACGGGATCGGGTGGTCAGGCTTGCTGACTTGGTTGACACATGTCATCGGTTCCCAATTGCGCAGATCGATGCTCGTGCTGTTGATCACTGGATTGTCTGGTCCAGACTCGATTATTTACAGACCGCTGCCATATAGCTGGAATATTGCTGAGTGTGGCGTAAAAACTAAACTCCCTCACCTAGAATATCTTCATGAATGTGTCTTCACTGCACAACCATCTTGTAGATCCAATTAGTGCTTTCTAACCAGTCTTAGTGAACTTAGGCTCAGTATTTTTCATTACACTGCTATACTAAGTCTAACAACCCTAGTAGAAGGTCGCGTCAGATAACCTTTTGGACTGACCAGTCAGAACACAGCTCACCAAATCGCGAGAGTAAACATTTGCAAATACCATTTTAACCCTTACCTAAAAAACTCGAATGATTCCGAATGCTATTTTCTGCACGTTCGCTTCCGAGTTATACACATGGAGGACGCAATGAGTAAACAGTCGCTGAAAATAGGGGTTTTGTCAATATTCAAGGATGTCATCTTGTGGAAATATAAGCTAATAGTAACCGTGTCATTAGAAACCCCTAAGCGTATATACTGCAGGTCAAATATCTGTGTTTAATGCAGATTTCCATTTGTTGATAGATCAGTGTCAGCAACCAGGTAAGAGAAAATCCAAAAACTGTTTTGTAAGTCCTGCTGAACAGGAACAGGAACAGGTAGTCGTTGTCTGATTGGTTAAATCCGTCTGACGGTTTCGCGTTTGATTGGACGGTCATAGCTCACTCAAAGGTAATCTGATGCGACCTTTTACTAGAGTTTGTTAGACTCAGTATAGCAGTTTAACGAATAAAACTGAGCCCAAGTTTACTTAAACTGGCTTTCTAACACAAATATTAATGAGCAATAATCAAATACTCACTCACACACTACTGACGCATCTGTATCCTACAGCAGTCCAAGACCATCCTTTAATATAGTGCTAAGACCCCGTCAGGGACAATATATATCTTGATGCCAGCGTTTTGTTTTACATTACAAGCCCCTATGACTTTGGTACTTATCTTCACTTAAATACGGTAATTGAATTCCATGCATATTCAGAACAAATATTCTCAAGCTCTTTAAATTCACTTGACGCGGAAATTGGGAGATGATCCGATAATATTCATCGAACATGAAACGAGGGTGTGACTCTACTTCTTTACTTCAAGCAAATGGCCCAGAAACATGAATCCAATTTCCCTAGCTTGCTGCCGCGAAGCAAAGTGTTGACAGTAGTCTAGACTATAGGACCATCTCACGCCTCCCGGGTACAATTATCAATGGACTACATAATCCGCCCTCGAAAAATAATGGACGGTCACTCGTCATTTCTTCACTTATTTACTTACGCCCTTGCCTTTTCGTCAAATACTAGAAAGTGCTTAGTTTTTCGATTCTTTGGCGCTTTGATTTTCTTCTTCGTGAAACCCATGCTGGTGGTTGTTTGTTCCGGAAGTCTGTGAAGGGAGACAACTCTTGTACCTTCCGTTGCTAACATGTCTTTTGTGAGCGCATCGGTTGTAAATGCTTAGTGGTATTTGTGTGTTCGTATCAACATGTGCATTAGACTGGCACTTTTTGCAACTTATATAAAATGAAATTTGAAACAATTAAAAGCTTGTGCACGTAGATCAGTAGTATTATTTGACAAATGATTTTTTGATAAGCGAGATGATTAGAATTACAACTTAATTTTACCCACTTTTCTGTATAGAAAAGGCCAATTCTTATAGTATTAATTGTTTTGTTTCATTTCAGCGCCTTGAGCAAGCGCTAGTTGCGTGGATATGTGCGCTATATAAATATCCTATAATAATAATAATTCAGAGGCTATAATATGGACCAAGTGCATAGTCAGTCTTGTGGAGCTGGTTGCTTTTATGCCATTGTACTCTGCTTGTCTGCTTTTATTATATGGTCTCTGAGTACACCCAGTCATCAGAGTAAATTATACCAGTCAACAGAGATCGAGTACCCCTGCGTGTTATCAGAGTACACCTGTGTGTCGTCATGGAGCACAACATATTTACCATCGCAGTACACCTGTGTGTCGTCAGAGAACGCATCCTATCTACCTTCGCCTTCAGAGGACACACAGTCATCAGAGCACACCATATATCTTAAGAGTACACCATGTGTGTCATGAGACACCCCAAACCGCAAATCCTTTAAAAACCGAACACGCAAATATGAGCACACTCCGGCACAGCGATGACTTAACATAACATCACTGCCACAGGCTAATTTGCATACCACGTGACCGGACTTTTCTCTTGTTTGTAATCAAACGCGCATATTCATAATAAGAAGAGACTGGACTCACGAAAGCTTTTCGGCGCTCTCTTCATAATGTTTTACATTGTTACATATATATTCTGCCACAACTGCGACAGTAAGGTCTATGACAGTACATATTTAGATATCAAACTGGCTGCAACGTTTGCACTCCATCAGCTTCGATGACAGCACGTGGAGCCCTACAACCTATGTAAACAAAGGATCGCTACGCAAATCGAAATAGTGTTACATGTTTTTGGATATTTTCTCAGTGAAACTAAACCATTCTATTAAAGATGTTTAGTTAGATGTGTAGACTCGTAAAAAATAAAAGAGTAAAAGAAATCTGTACATTATATTGAATGGACATTGCAAGATGTGACGAATCGTCACATTTTTCTGGCCCGTGGCAGAGGTACTATGCTGGCTTGCCGCATGGAACTCTGGGTAGGAGAGTGAAATATGAGGTGTTGATTTAAAGTACATGGTTGCGAAAGACAAACATCTGAATCGAAATATGAAGTTCTGTTGATTGTGTTCCTAATATATCAAACTAATTTGATTATGTTTGCTTCTGTTTCTTTGATTCGGTGTTAATAATCAATTACTACCTTCCTCCTCCGTCAGACCTTTCAAAGATGTAAAAACGTCATTAGCGACAGTCTGCTGGACTAATAACGCAGAGCGTTGTTGATGATGACGGCGTTGTTTGATGTTGATTTCGTTGCTATTCCAATATACGTGCTAAAGGTCGGCCATCACTATCTTTAATGTCGTCTGTCAGTTTCTTTGTCTTTGTTTCATGACAAGCAATCATTTGGATGACATTCCGAGAAGAACAAAAACGGACGCAGACATCTCAATAGTTTTCTGGAACAAGAAAGCCGCATGCCAAAGCGCAAGCCGCCTATTCCTGCCCCCGCCCCTAGTATATCAGAAGATAGGACCTCGATAAGATATCCCATGGTGTTTTACTGTTCTCGAGGGTCCGTGAAGAACTGCTGTTCTCGGACACAGTGGTTGATAAGCACAAATACAATAGCTTCGCGGACGGTACAAAGTTTTCAAGCTGCACCAGATTCTGTGCAAAGTTATTTAAACTGTGTGTATGATCAACAGAAATTAGGGTCAGTTTAGGGTTTAGGCGCTCGTGACACAGGTTGTTTGTGGATTGATCTCCGCTAATGACAGATATCAAACTAGAAAACTATGGATACAATATTTGAGTGAATTATATACAATGTACTGACATTGAACATTTACTAGACAAACAGCGTCTTCATTTAAAGTTTAAATTTAATCATGTCCTGTATTTGACATTTCTCATTACATATAAAAGGGAAATTCACGTTTAGTGATTACAAAGGGATTTCATGTCTAGTTAGGTGCAAGGAAGTCAGTATTAAGCTAATTTAGTATATTTTCCTTTGCGAATCAAGAACCTTCTGCTTCAAATGCGGCTCGATAGTTTTTTTATTTACTTCAGTTGTGCAGTGTCATATTGGTGAAGTATTTTATTGAACTCGCGAAAGAGTCACGGGTGGTGCCACACCGGTACATACCAAGTTAACTCTCCCTATTCTGTAGAATCTATGTTCTGGGCGTCCCCTTGGTGGTTCCAGTGTAGAATAGGCCCACAGCAGCCCGTGCAAACCCGTGCCTGGCCTTGGTTGATCACGTGGTCCTTTGTTGCTTGTTTCATCAATCACCTGATTTTCTGGCCCAGACTCTATTCTGTACAGCCCTCTGTTATATAATCAGAATATTGCTGAGTGTGTCGGTAAATACATAAATAAGAAGGAATCTAAAATTCACCGGGACGATGGGGTAGCCCAGTGGTTAAAGCGTTCGCTCGTCACGCCGAAGACACGGGCTCGATTCCCGACATGGGTACAACGTGTGAAGCCCATCTCTGGTGTCCCCGCCGTGATATTGCTGGAATATTGCTAAAAGCGGCGTAAAACTAAACTCACTCACCCACTATAATCCACCAAACTATCGCAGGTCAAAAATGCAATATTTATATTTCTTTATCCACTTTTAACAAAACTAAAAAATATTAATAATTAAAATGCGACCTTGCATCTTGCTAACATAGCACATCGTTCAACGTGTCAAGTACCACACTCTGTATCATGTCGATTTCAGCAGCCTCGCTCCCTCTGTCCAAGGTCCCTCACCCCGTACACACTGTTTCTCACAATAGCCGGACGTCCGAGCAACCAGGAAGTCATCGTCACAGTGAATAATGCCATCTCTCTCTGTCTCCACACACTATAAATATATCATGGATAGGTCATGGCCTTTGACGATGTGACACCGGGAGTTTATATACTTACCAATAGGTCTGGCTTCCCGTGCCAGCTGTTCTATAGACATATATATTAGTGTCTACCATATGTGTCTATTTATAATAGTATGATTTACTGTTATTTAAAGTATTCGGTCTGGACTCTCGAAGTGTCAGTCGCTGTATTGGTTCCAACGACATTGTTTCCCACAAATGTTACCAATGAAACATCGTCCTGAACAGAACCCCGATAATCTGGACACCCTCCAGATGCATATTTTGTAGGAACGTCTAACCTCAGGGCTATGATTTTGTCCAAATTTTGAGTTTTTGGTACATAGGGCTGAGGTTATGGTTACTGAAACTAAGAATTTCGTTTATCATAGGACAGGGACGGTGGGGTAGCCTAGTGGTTAAAGCGCCGCTCGTTACGCCGAACGTTCGATTCCCTACATGGGTACGATGTTTGAAGCCCATTTCTGGTGTCCCCCGCCTTGATATTGCTGTAATATTGCTAAAAGCGCCGTAACACTAAACTCACTCACTAACTCAGATTAGGACAGATACCTGTTTATTTTAATCTTCATCCAAGATGGCGGAATGTTTTGCCATAGACATATTTATTGTTGATAGACTGATAACAAAACTGTAAACGATCCGAGACAAAAATCATCGTGTCGATGCTGTGGACCTCTGGAGCTTTCCTCGCAGAATCGGATGCATTGTATATTTTGTTGAATGGGTCGACTTATTGGATTTGGCGGACAGGTTCGGTTGCATTGCTCATCACATCGATCACTGGTTTGTCAAGTTCAGATTCGATTATGTACAATCTCACACCGACAGATTAGTACGGGTGAGACCTAAAACAGACCAAACTAAACAAAAGAAACCAAGATAACAAAACAAGCAAACAAAATACAACCCTAAAAGAAAGAAGAAGAAAAAGACAAGATAAATGTAAACATAAAGAACTTCAGTGTGACGTCACTACGGACATTTGTGAATCTGGACGATTTCAATGCGTGGTGTTCTGAACAGCATAGCCCCCAACAGTAATGTTATGCTGATACTCCACACTTCACAGCACCGAGCATCCGCACTTGGCGATTCATGTGGCTATTAAAATGAGTTATATATAGTCGTCAACGCAACTATTAAATACACATTATATTACAAAGGAGCTCCGCTTTCCAAACATGTTTACAAGTCACACGGCATTTTGAAATGTTAAGCATCGAATACTTAGCAATATCACGGCGGGGGGCACCAGGCATGGGCTTCGCACAATGTACCCATGTGGGGAATCGACCCCGTGTCCTCAGCATGTAGAGAGAACGCTGTAACCACTGGGCTACCCAACAGCCAAGTTCATGGGCACGCATTTGGGATCTTCCTCTCGTCGTGCTTTCCTCCCACTAATCTGACACGCTGTCATATGACTGTTTAAAGTGACTTAAAACAACTCACCTCCTCTCGTTTCAGGCTTTTAAAACATCCCACGAACTAGTATACTGGTCCTTACAGAACTAATTGCAACAAAGTCATACCTCGTGTCTTCCAGATGCAAGAGACGGTTCACCATTAAGGGCTTAGTAGCCACAGACAGTCACGCACGCGACACGTCTAAACTATTTTCAGATAAATAATAGATCTCCAAGAGAGGTAGCACCTTAATGGATATCACCTGCAAAGATCAAATGTTTCCATGACATGTAAATGATGCCTGAATATAAAGGATGGTTTGGTCAGTATATGTTGGGAAAGTAAATGCATGGAAACAGGGACACAAGTTCTGGCATGGTAAAGATGATGACATGGCAAGGAGGCAGGAACACAAGTGATGCCACAGTAAGGATGAAAGAACAAGTGATGACATGGTAAGGATGTAAGAACACAAGTGATGACATGGTAAGGATGAAAGAACAAGTGATGACATGGTAAGGATGTAAGAACACAAGTGATGACATGGTAAGGAGACAGGAACACAAGTGATGACATGGTAAGGATGTAAGAACAACTGATGACATAGGTAAGGAGGCAGGAACACATGTGATGACATGGTAAGGAGACAGGAACACAAGTGATGACATGGTAAGGATGTAAGAACAAGTGATGACATGGTAAGGAGGCAGGAACACATGTGATGACATGGTAAGGAGACAGGAACACAAGTGATGACATGGTAAGGAGACATGAACACAAGTGATGACATGGTAAGGATACAGGAACACAAGTGATGACATGGTAGGGAGACATGAACACAAGTGATGACATGGTAAGGATGTAAGAACAAGTGATGACATGGTAAGGAGGCAGGAACACAAGTGATGACATGGTAAGGATGTAAGAACACAAGTGATGACATGGTAAGAAGACAGGAACACAAGTGATGACAAGGTAAAGATGGAAGAACACAAGTGATGACATGGTAAGGATGTAAGAACATGTGATGACATAGTAAGGAGGCAGGAACACATGTGATGACATGGTTAGGATGTAAGAACAAGTGATGACATGGTAAGGATGTAAGAACACAAGTGATGACATGGTAAGGAGGCAGGAACACATGTGATGACATGGTAAGGAGACAGGAACACAAGTGATGACATGGTAAGGATGTAAGAACAAGTGATGACATAGTAAGAAGGCAGGAACACATGTGATGACATGGTAAGGAGACAGGAACACAAGTGATGACATGGTAAGAATGTAATAACAAGTGATGACATAGTAAGGAGGCAGGAACACATGTGATGACATGGTAAGGAGACAGGAACACAAGTGATGACATGGTAAGGAGGCAGGAACACAAGTGATGACATGGTAAGGAGACAGGAACACATGTGGTGACATGGTAAGGATGTAATAACAAGTGATGACATAGTAAGGAGGCAGGAACACATGTGATGACATGGTAAGGAGGCAGGAACACATGTGATGACATGGTAAGGAGGCAGGAACACAAGTGATGACATGGTTAGGAGACAGGAACACAAGTGATGACATGGTTAGGAGACAGGAACACAAGTGATGACATGGTTATGAGGCAGGAACACAAGTGATGACATGGTAAGGAGACAGGAACACAAGTGATAACATGGTTAGGAGGCAGGAACACAAGTGATGACATGGTTAGGAGGCAGGAACACAAGTGATGACATGGTAAGGAGACAGGAACACAAGTGATGACATGGTTAGGAGGCAGGAACACAAGTGATGACATGGTAAGGAGACAGGAACACAAGTGATGACATGGTTAGGAGACAGGAACACAAGTGATGACATGGTTAGGAGGCAGGAACACATGTGATGACATGGTAAGGATGTAATAACAAGTGATGACATGGTAAGGAGGCAGGAACACAAGTGATGACATGGTAAGGATGTAAGAACAAGTGATGACATGGTAAGGAGACAGGAACACAAGTGATGACATGGTAAGGATGTAAGAACACAAGTGATGACATGGTAAGAAGACAGGAACACAAGTGATGACAAGGTAAAGATGGAAGAACACAAGTGATGACATGGTAAGGATGTAAGAACATGTGATGACATAGTAAGGAGGCAGAAACACATGTGATGACATGGTAAGGATGTAAGAACAAGTGATGACATGGTAAGGATGTAAGAACACAAGTGATGACATGGTAAGGAGACAGGAACACAAGTGATGACATGGTAAGGAGACAGGAACACATGTGATGACATGGTAAGAATGTAATAACAAGTGGTGACATGGTAAGGAGATAGGAACACAAGTGATGACATGGTAAGGAGACAGGAACACAAGTGATGACATAGTAAGGAGACATGAACATAAGTGATGACATGGTAAGGAGGCAGGAACACAAGTGATGACATGGTAAGGATGGAAGAACACAAGTGATGGCACGGTAAGGATGTAAGAACAAGTGATGGCATAGTAATTACGGATGTAAGAACACAAGTGATGACATGGTAAGGATGTAAGAACACAAATGATGCCATACTAAAAGATGAAGGAACATAAACGATGACATGATAAGGATCGAAGATGACCGATGATATGGTTTCCGGGTTGGACGATGTCCCCAGCAACTTACGCTGAATCAAACAAAATAACAAACAAATAAACAAACCTACGAGTAGGAAATAATCCCTCCATTATCTTTGCCGTCTGCTCACTATTAAACCCAACATTATTCACCTGTATCCGACATTACACATTCACGCTGTTTGGTAAAGGTAATCAGCCAAATGTAACGAAGTATGAATGGTGTATGCAGGTGCTCGCACCTCTGTTGTCAACCTGGTCGGGTCAGACTACCTTGTTTAGGTATGTACATTAGCTATGATTAGCTTCAACGGGGAATTGGAGCGCGGCGCACCGATCCGGACTCACATCTTCCGGTGAGGCTCGTTGCCCCCGCCCGATGCAGTCCCGGGGAAGGTGTTGTTGTCGTCTGCTCTCTTGTCACGCGCACTCTCAGATGTTGACTCTTTAGACCCTGTATATGATTCCCCATTGCACTGTGACAACATAATTATGTATGCAGTTAAAATATTGCTGTCTCCAAGATAGCCACATGTAGTAAATATTTGATTATTGGTATCAAAAATGTAATTGTCGTCTTAACGTGGTCACATCGAATATTAGCATCGACGTGGTCAGTGCTAAAATGTTTATTTGGGATTATACATATATTGTCAGATGAAACTTGAATGAAGAGACTTTCAAACAGATACATATTGATTTCTGAAAACAAATATACTATAAAGTTTAAAATTTAACCACGAAAGATTGATATTGAACTGCTATGACTAGCTGCGTGTAAATATTGCATTGTCAAACCTCTGACGTTGTGGAAATGCGAAATCTCCGTTCATTCATCTGGAAAGTTTACAACATGGTTCTCTTCCCAACTCTTCACCTATTAAATCTCGCAGTGGTGTATTAAATACCTCGTCTGTTAACAACCATATCCCGTCAGTACCCCCCTCCCAGTCTACCCGCTCCCACACGCCCCCTACAACACACTCCGCCGGTCCACCCTGAGTGTTAAACTGAGATTGAGACTGCGAGTTTCTCCCCGACAGGCAGCAATCGGTATCACAGCGCCCAGCCGTTTCCTGGTATAGGGTCCACTTGAAACTCCAGCCATCACCCTGGCTAGCGGATTCCTCTCTACCCCCGACTACTCACAAGCACACACACAGAACTCGCAGTAACGCTGTCGGTTACATCCTTTGTGTCAAGCTTTTGTGGAGTCGTCCTGACTATGTGTGTTTGAATATCGTGATGTCAACACCCTATTCTCAGTGACTAGTGTTGTTCTGTACTGCTCTGGAGGAGGATATTCGTTCATTGGATACATTTCAAGATAGGACCAACTGTAAGTTTTTGTATTTATTTCGCTCACTGTCACCATGACTCAATTCAAAGTACATTGACACATATATACATCTATCTCGCAATGTCAACAAAGTTAATCGGCGAGGACTCTCCGCCTCTTGCACTAGTGTAATGTGATCTTGGGTCGCCAAATTAACTAGACCATGTAGCTTTCGCAATATCAGCTTCCTTGACTTCCCTGTCTATACATGTTATGGCAAAGTTAAGGCAAGCAAACGGAGAATACCGTTAATAGGGTGATGTATATTTCAACGAACAGCTGATCGGAGAGCTTTACAACCACGTGTCTCACAGCTTGCATTGCAGCTGAATCGTACAATGGGATAGCGTTGGGATGTTAACTCAAAACATATGAGTCAAGTGAAAACGTATTGACGTACATGTTTATGGTACGTCCACATTCTCATTTCAAGGATGGCTGTTGTTTTGCATACCATTGATTAATCCAATCTAGGAGCTATTTGAAATGAGCTAAATTTACCCACGGACTTTAAAACGAATCTATAGTTTTAGAGCCTCAAGGAAATGTATGTCAAAGTTGATATGACATAATTTATTCTACGCATTTTATAGTGTAGATGGCGTGGTGTTTGTACGTTAAGTAGGTATATCGTCACACAATGTAGATTTACTGGGGTCATTAATGTACCGACTTTAAATGGCCGTCAGTTCCTTGTTTCAGAAGTTGTTGATTTCAATGCCTGTTAGTTCATAGTTATGAGGAATCCTGAAGAGGTTGAGGTTAGATGGGGGTGGGGTGAGGATGCAAGGGGTGGTGTGTGTATTATGGGATTGGAAGTATCCACCTTCCCCTTTTAAATACGGTGATGACCATAATGACAAAAATAAACATCTTTGGGAACGGTTAACTCGTGTATATTGAGATACTCCACACCCAGAGACACATAAAATAAAGGTGGGTAACACTGTCACCCCGCCACACACTCCCCCCACCATACGTACAAACACAGTAAATGTTACCATTGTAAATACCCATCACTCTCCCCCCCTTTCCCCTCCCTAAAGGTCTTTCGCACCCCAACCCCTGTATACCACTTGCAGAATTTGCAACCACGCACGCACGCACGCACGCACGCACGCACACACACAAACACACAATCCTCCTTACATTAAATGTTGAAATCCATAATGTGGCCTCCACTACCCTTCAAACAAAGTCTTCTGTGTCCTTTTTTCATTGATCGCGTTATTCTAATCAGTCAATAATCTAGAGTAATATATATATGATACCTGTTGATGTTTAAACATTCTGCCATCAGGCCATTATCAATCGCGATTCCACAATAGTTCGACACGTCCCTGATATCAATTGAGTATTGACGTGTACAGATCCTACTTTATGGCAGTCAATGAGTCAAATACAATCATCTGTGTGATCATTGCGAGTCTTACTCAGACCGTGAAATTATTTGATCGTTTATACCTTTACACTGTTGACTAGCTCAATTATTTTCTCGTACTCATTTAAACTTTCCATGTTCAAAACCATGCAGTTGAAATATTCGTAAATGCAACTGCGTGTTTTATCACGTTTGCCGTTTAGTTCACCTTAGTACGTTAGGGAAAGAATCTTAATTGTTTGAGATATTAAACTCAAATACGAAATACTTTTAGGGCCATTTCCAGTTTTAGTTTCATTCTTTGAAATTACAAGATAAATAATTGTAGTTAAAATTACGTTATACTAACTTGAATTTTCAAGATATAAATGACCCGAAAAAGCTAACGTATTAAAATAGCAGAAGTTTATGAAACTTTGATAGGCTCTGATGAACTATTTGGCATAAATGGTATGTTTTACATTTACAAATTCAATTCTTTATTACGAAGATAGTGTAGGCCATCGGCCCATGACTACATGCAATAATCAATTGTCTAAACGTGTTAGCAATGCATATATAGAGATGATTTGATATATGTATGTTTAAGTTGATTTAACAATCAATACTTAGTAGAGATACTTTTTTTAGCATCATAGCTTTATAGATGTACAAAGATATGTTTCTTAATAATTCACAGTTAGAAGCCGACATTAAGATATTGAACTTAGACTTGGTTGGAAATGTATACTAATTACAAGGTATATGTTGTAGCCTTGGATCCCTATGTGATTGACAGACCGGAACAAAACGAAACTCGTCCTCCACATAGCCAATCTTACACGTTACATAAAATAGCATTTCTATTCACCTAAACTGACCCAATGCATATCTCATATGCATATATGTATCATATGTATATATATTTACAAACTGACATCAAGGTGAGTCTTGTAACCATTTAGTAAACTACTTGGAAAACACCTGTTTGGGGACTGAAGATGAAATGAACATGAATTTGTTGCATATACGACGCTAATGTAAACATTGCGGGTATTATATACACAATAAAACTCGAACCTTTACAATGACTATGCGATTGACTATGTGTTAGTTAGGGTTGGATAAGGACTGGGTGGTAGTTTAGGGTGATGGGGCAACTTTCTGAAAGGAACTACCCCCTCACCCCCATCCACCACAGTCTCAATTCAATATCTCAAAACGCCACCTAAAGTCGAAACAGCTCGAAATATTTCATTAACATAAACAGCTTTAAATGGTACACTATTTAACACGAATTCATCTAACCGATGTGGCTTAATAGATGCAATAACCCGGGCAGTCCCATAATATAATGTCGGCACTGCTTATTTCGCACGACAGAGAAAGCATTTCCGATATATTTCCTAAACTGTGGATTATAAATCGTATTCACAACATATTTCCGATATTCCCAGAAATTCAAAACGCATTTCCGATATATTCCCGAAGGTCCCGGAACGACACCTTCCTTTTTGAATATTTGACACCTTCCTTTTTGAATATTTGAAATTAGCTCTAAAAACAGTCTCGAATCCTTACCACTACTTGACGAGATACATCACATGAAATGCATCACATGGCTGTGTATACCAGCGGCTAGTTCTAATGGTTATGTCATTCAGCAATACGTCTTCATGTGACTCAACGATCTCATATATACAGGGAAGGTACTTTTATAGCTTCCCCGATGTGAGTTGGTCGATAGTGGAATTCATTCCGGTCTGAAGTAAATACGTGTTCAATTAAGGTCCTCAATGGTCGGGTCATTAATTAAAGGAGAACAGTAGATGGCAATGTCAACCTCTCCAGGTACCAACGTCATGCACTCCCCCTCCTTGTGATCTTGATTGCTGATGGCCCGTGGAAAGGTTCCAGCCTGAGAGAGGAATCAGTACCGTAGATCTTGAAGATTGTTGGCTTGATTGATAACGTATATTAGCGCTGTAAATTCTTGAAGAATGGGTTGGTTAGTTCTCCTAGCAGACCTGCAGATTCTCCAAGACTGGGTTAGATAGTGTTGTCAGTAGTACTGCAGATTCTTGATGAAGGTGTTGATTAGTGTTGTCAGTAGTTCTGCAGATTCTTTAGCAGAATGCGTTGTGGGTTTAGTTAGAAGTACTGAAGATGCTTGAAGAAAAAGTTGGTAACGCAGCAGATTCTTGAAGAATGGTTTGGTTAGCTGCAGATTCTTGAAGAATGGGCTACTTAGCTGCAGATTCTTGAAGAATGCGTTTGTTATCTTAAGTAGTACTTCAGAGAAGAATGGATAATGAATTGTGGTCTTAGTACTGTAGATTCCTGAAGAATTCCTTAATGACTGATGTGGTTTGTACCCTAGATTCTTGATGCATTGATGATTAGAAACCTTAGTGACGTAAATTATTGAAGACTGCATTGAAAGCCATTGTATTTGTATGATAGATCCTTGGAGACCGTGTTAATGACAACTACTCTTCAGTATGTTCACGATGTCATCTTTAATGAATAGTGCTGTTAATGATTCGCCTTGTCTATACTTTAGATTCTTGACGATTGCATTAATGACTACCCGTGAAGACCCGGTTACAAGTGGTCTTTAGCCGCCATGCTTACCATAAGAGGTGACTAACGGGATCGGGTGGTCCTCGCTGACGTGGTTGACACATGTCATCGTGTCCCAATTGCATAGATGAATGCTTATGATCACTGGATTGTCTGGTCCAGACTCGATTGTTTACAGACCACCGTTATATAGTTGGAATATTGCAGAGTGCGACGTTACAAAACAAACAAACAAACATTAATGACTATGTGTGTTAGCATTATAGATTCTTGGAACATGTATTGAAGACTGATGCTGGTACCGTAGATTCCGGAACACAGCGTTAATGATTGGTGCTGTTAATGATTACCCATGTCAGTACTGTAGATTAAACCGCATCCGTGGTGTAGTGGTTAGAGCGTCCGCCCGGAGAGCGGAAGGTCGCGAGTTCGATCCGCGTCATACCAAAAGACGTTAAAATATGGTACTTGTTGGTCCCTGCCTGGCGCTCGGCATTAATGGGTACAACAAGGACTGGTCGGCTCGGAGTCAGTATAATGTGTCTGAATGGGGTATTCCTGCTTCACTGCAGAATGGTATCTCAGTGGGCTAGCACTATAAAACCAGCTTCAGTCTGGGCTAGTACAAGCAGCCGCACATACACATACACACGCATGCACGTCGTCATATGAGCGAAATATTCTCAAGCACGACGTTAAACCCAATTTCACCTCACCTCACCTCACCTCACCTCACTGTAGAATAATGACAACAGCGCCCTTGCCAACTGATTGAAGCGTCTCAGTATGGAGTGTAGCCAGCACTGGGCACAACACACAGGGTCCCATTCAAACCCCGTGTTTTTGCTTACCCTTTGGCAATCCTAAGTCAGCAGTATACACTTCTAAGTGGCACTGTTTGGGATACCTGATTCATCAAATGTCCATATACATGTATCAACATTGTAGATGTCAGCGTTTTCGTTCACGATTAATGACGTTTATTTATACCGTGTTTACGGCTAGCCAAGGGTCGGGTGAAGGTGAAGGCAGATCGTGTGATATTCTCTGCACACTC